GGAGGTGGAAGGGGAAAGCAATTTCAGAGGAATGCTCCACCGCCTGGGTTTGGGAACAATTCGAGAGGAGGAGGGAATTGGGATTCTGGGAGTAGAAGGAGAGACTTTGAGCACAATGTGGATCGGGAAAGGCAGAGTTCAAGTGAATTTGTGAGGAACCGGGATGCTTCTTTTGAGGATGAGAGAGTGAGAAGATTGGCAAGTGAAGACAGTCGAATTCGAGGCAATGGGGCTCGCGGATTGGGGTTCAGTGCACAGGTTGATGATCCTGGTCCGCCCACTGGCGCCAATCTTCATTCGGCTTCAGCATCAGAGATTGAAAAGTCGATGATGAATTTGCAGCATGAAAAGGATGACAAGAATGAGGAGGATGACAAGAATGAGGTGAAGCAACACCATAATTCGCGTGAAAAGGTTGAACCTTTTTTTATTTTCCTTTCTATTATGAATTTACGATACATACAAAGGTTTTGAATGCTATGAGAATTCATGAAGTGAATTTGTTTGTTTGGATTCAAGTTAATGCTTACCTATGTTAAATCTATGCTTGACGCTTATTTCAAAGCTTTTTTGTTTTGGTGAATTTGTAACTGCTCTGCAAGTTAATAATTTCTGCAAATGATACCTATCATTCCATAGCAAGCATAGTTATACATGGAGATACACAAGCAGAGTAATTTTTTGTTGTCAGAACGATTGGTAAAGTGAAGTCATCTCTGAATATGCGGTCTGGGTTATACCAAACTCTTTCGCACAAGAGAAAATTATGTAATGAATGGAGAGTTTGTTGGGACTTCACTTGATTATCGTTTTTGAGAAGCATCTCACTCTCATCTACACTATATGTTAGCTATCCATATCTAACCACATGGTGTGACACCAATTCTCAAGTCAGGTCCTTATAAGAAGCCATCGTTTGTGTGTGTTTGTGTTCGTTCATTATTCAAAGCAACAAATGGTTTAGATATGAGTTACTTATAGTTTTCATTATCAGGATTCAAGATCAGATAACAGAGGACAACACCCACTTAACCAAAGAATGAGAATCTTCAGAAGACAGATGCAATGTCGCTTTGACATAGACAGGCTAAATGCTCCTTTTCTTGCAATTTATGATTCCTTGATACCAACTGAGGAAGAGAAGTCTAAGCAGAATCAATTATTTACATTATTAGAGACGTTAATAACCAAGGAATGGCCTGAAGCTCAGCTGTATGTCTATGGGTCGTGTGGCAACTCATTTGGAGTTTCTAAAAGTGATATTGATCTTTGTCTTGCAATTGATGTGGCAGATGACAACAAGTCTGAGATCTTATTAAGGCTGGCAGATATTTTGCAATCAGACAATCTACAGAATGTCCAGGTGAATCAGAGTGCCTCTCCTCATGAATTTATGTGATAGATAAAACTTTACATTTGGGCATTGGCAAATGTTGATGGATGCTACCTGCAATGTTTTGGTCATTGTATTGACTGATGTGCTTTTCTCAATGAGAGTTTTGGGTATAAAAAACTTCTTCAACGGCATAAATTTTAACTTTCTGACAAAAAATTACCCTCTGATGGCACAGAAAAACAAAAGCTGAATTATATCATCGAGTTATATATGATATGGGAAACTGTGCTTCTTTCGGTTGATAAGGGAAACACAAGGGGAATGTTTTTACCTACTTAGGGCTTTACCTATGCAAAATATTGTTTGGCCACTTATACTTGATGGTTGATTGGATATTGAAGTGGTAGAAAATTATATCTCTTATCATGGAATCTTTTTAAGATGCAAGACTCTGATATTCATGATGGTATTAGACCTTAATATGCAAGACTCTGATATCTTATATGCAAGAATCAGGGCTGTTATATTACAATTTAAGATTTATCTTATGGTTCTGTAAGCAGTATTATTCTTTTGTATAATGTCCCATTGAGTGTTGAGTGCAATGAACTGTAAAACATTATATTAGAGGAGAGGAAGATAAAAATCCTGTGGTTACGTTGTTAAACAGGGCTCTATGGTTTTGCTTTAGTAATTTATTGGTATTGTGTACTCTCACGAATATCTTATTACCATAAAAATTGTATAAAGAGTTGAAAAAGATTATTAGGGATTGGTCAACTGGGTGTGGAATATAAATTTTTCGTGCTTTGCTTGGCATTATGTGTTGGATTCACATATCTCGTCCACATGAATTTCAAGGAATGCTGTTTAAACCTCCAAGACTTCAAATCTTTATCACATGTGTGCTTAAGATTGAGCCTTCTTCCCCCACCTTTTTTTTTCCATCTTTAAGTGACATTCTCTATCTTTGACTGTTAAATCCAGGAAATGTGTAGGTAGCTTTTTGGCTTATTAGTAACAAGGCGTTCATGAAATGCAATTCTGTATCCTGCATGTCGATGCAGTTATCATACATCTAAGTCTTACTTTAGGGATCTTGTGAAACAACGTATGAGTATATACCACCTTATGCATAACCCTTTCTATCCAGGCAACACAATTTTGGTGATTTAATTCTCTTAAGAGTTTTATATAACCACTTTATGCATATTCCTGTTTGTTTCAGGCGTTGACACGTGCTAGGGTTCCCATAGTAAAGCTTATGGATCCTGTCACTGGTATCTCCTGTGACATATGCATCAACAATGTTTTGGCTGTTATAAATACAAAGCTTCTTCGTGATTATGCAAAAATAGATGCAAGATTACGGCAGTTGGCTTTTATTGTGAAACATTGGGCCAAGTCAAGAGGAGTCAATGAAACTTACCAAGGAACCCTATCTAGCTATGCGTAAGTTAACTTTTGAATCTCACCTTCCCAACACTAGCAACACAAGGTTGGGAGATACTTTTGTTCCCTTTACCAATGGCGGAGGGAGCTAAGGCCCAGGGTGGGCATGTGCCCCCTCTCAAATCTTCATTGAGGCTATTATCTTCTTAATAAAATCTTACTTTTCTTAACCAAATTTTATTTCTCTCTTTGTATTTTTCTCTTATTTTCCTTTCTCACTATCATTGCTGCCCTTTCAATATCTCTTATTGCTTCGACTCTTGATTTTATAGTGATAAATTATCGTTCAAATTTTCTTTGTGAGTATTTTTTATAAAATATATTTCATTTGATTTTTTGCTAGGATCGATAATGAGTAGATAGTTAATATAACATGTAAAATAATGAAGTATAGAAATTAAAACTAGGGATTTTGTAATTAGTTTGGTTGTCACTCAAAAAAAAATTATTTCAAAATATGAGGTGCCCCCTCTGTTAAAATTTTCTAGCTCCGCCACTGCCCTTTACCATGAAAATCTAAATGTTTGCCTTTTCTTTTTCAGGTATGTTTTGATGTGCATTCATTTCTTACAACAGCGTAGACCTGCTGTTCTTCCCTGCTTACAGGTATGTCTTCCTAGTTTGCTTCAACGAGAGGCATGCAAGGCATATATGGACGTCATATTCAGTATCGTTCTATTTGTGTGTTTAAGCACTACCTCTGTTCTCTTTCAGGAAATCCAGTCAACATACTCTGTCACTGTCGAGAACATCAAATGTGCTTTCTTTGATCAAGTAGACAAACTTCGAGATTTTGGATCCCATAACAGGGAACCTATTGCTAAACTGGTGTGGGCATTTTTCAATTACTGGGCATATGGTCATGATTATGCAAATTCTGTCATATCTGTTCGTACAGGAAGGATACTCAGGTGAGATATGGAATCTGTTATGTTTTATTAAGATAAGTAACTTAAAATATTGATTCATTATATAATTATTACTTAACCAGTTTAGTTTCTTTCTTTTAAGTGTGTATTGAATGGAAGGACAGTTAAATTGTCATCACTGGAATATTCTAAGTATTTTGAGAACATTTGCATATCTTACCATGAAAATTATTTAACACCCCCCAAAGAAAAAGAACTTAGCTATGATGTTAATTTGTTCAGCAAGCGGGAAAAAGACTGGACAAGGAGGATTGGGAATGATCGGCATTTGATATGCATAGAGGATCCTTTCGAGATATCCCATGACCTGGGTCGAGTGGTGGACAAGTACAGCATAAAAGTTTTAAGGGAGGAATTTGAACGTGCAGCCGAGATCATGCAATATGATGCAAATCCTTGTGTGAAGCTCTTTGAACCCTACGTTCCTGGTGTTTAATTGTTTTCTAGTGGAGTATAATTTTGGTGAATGAAATAAACTAAGATTGTAAAGTACTGGAGTGCCCCATTTTCCATCTTTCTGTGATGTTTATAGCTTGTTTAATGTCTTAGGTTTTAAATTTAAATTGTCATTGCTAAAAAAAAAAAAAAAAAAAAAAAAAAAAATTTTGTTTATATAAATTTTGTTCTCGTGATATCCCAAGAGGTTTGATGCAATGGTATGTTATTCTAAAGCTACTACAGAAAATGATGAGAGTAAGCTGTTGCACTCTCTGAACTTGTACTCAATTTTGAATGTGCCCTACAAAAAAAAAAAATAAACTATTTTATTTAGCCAGTGTCCCCCTATCGGCAAATTTCCTAATATTTCATCCACTTCTCCGTCAAGTTTGAGGACGCAATTGTTCATTCCGTAACCTTCTCTCTACCCTTCCTCCTCCTAAGTTTCAGGCAGCAGCCACCTAACCCCAACCCGCGAAGCCACCACTCCGAGCCACACATCCACCCTGACCCACGCAACCACCACCCCAGAAGCCATCTCCAACCAGCAACCAACAAATTCAAGGGCAAATTGAAAACTGGGTACAAATTCAGCCGTTTTCTATACTGAGAGTTGCCTGTATGTATGGCTGAATTGATAGGAAAAATCTCGTATATACATACGAAACATCTGGATGTCGTTTTGTCAAAGGAAGCAGGTAAAGCATCTACCAGTTGACAGTTGTGGGTCCATACTCCATAGATAATCAAAATTGTTTCTCAATTTCTCAATTTCTCAATTGCCACTTCTGAAACCTATCTCCACCTCAACAATTCTCAAGTCTCAAGAACAAGAAGCCAATCCAATGGCACTTAATGGAAATCACAGTGACCTCCCACAAGTTCTGGTACTTCTCCCACCTGGGTGCTTCACTCTCTTGGAGTCCAACTACTCCCACAAGTTCAACTTCCTCAAAGCTTGGGACTCTCCTCTCCCTCAAGACCAGTTCTTGGCCACACATGCAGGCTCTGTTCAGGCCTTGCTGTCCTCTGCCAATGGACCAACCATCACTGCCAATATCCTACAAATGCTGCCCTCCTTGAAGGTCATTGTCACCACCAGCGCTGGCCTTGACCATGTTGACTTAGCCGAGTGTCGAAGCCGCGGTGTTGCCATTGCCAGTACCCCTAAAATCTTCACTGAGGATGTTGCTGATATGGCTGTGGGGCTGCTTCTTGATGTCATGAGAAAGATTTCGGCTGGGGATCGGTATGTCAGAGACGGGCTTTGGGCTACCAGAGGAGACTATGCTCTCGGTTCTAAGGTCAGCAACATTCATTTCTAGCTCACATGCCTTAATCTTTTCTGGGTTTTGCTTGTTTCCTTTGGTTATGGTTGAAATCAATTGTTCCTAATTATGCGTTCCCTTTCAATGTTTAGATGAAAACAATCACAAATGTAGTGTTTGATTAAATATCTTTTAACAAAAATGATTTTTGGGAGCTATTCTGGTGTTAAATTAATTTCAACAACGTCAGTTCTTTACCACTTAATGATCATGTTATGCGTTGAAATTTGTCAACAGATAATTGAAATCCTCTTTTGTTTAAAGTAAATTAAAGTGGTTTTTATGATTGGAAATGCCAGATAGGAGGCAAACGAGTTGGGATTGTCGGATTGGGAAATATTGGCTTAGAAGTTGCCAAAAGACTTGAGGCCTTTGGCTGCAACATATTGTACAACTCAAGGACGGAAAAGCCATTCGTTTCATACCCTTTCTATTCTGATATCAGTGAACTTGCTGCTAACAGTGACGCCCTTGTCATTTGTTGTGCATTGACTGCTGAAACCCACCACATGATCAACAAGAAAGTCTTGTTAGCGCTGGGAAGAGATGGCGTGATTGTAAACATAGGACGCGGAGCTATAATCGATGAGAAGGAAATGGTGCGGTGTTTGGTGAAAGGAGAGATTGGAGGTGCTGGTTTGGATGTGTTTGAGGATGAGCCTGAAGTTCCTCAAGAGCTCTTCGCATTGGACAATGTTGTACTGTCGCCACATTATGCTACCTACACACCAGAATGTTTCATGGCTTTGTGTGAACTAGTAGCAGGGAATTTCGAAGCATTCTTCTCAAATAAACCGTTGCTTTCACCGGCTGTGGATAATTAAATCGATTTCTATTTGTAGGTTAGTGTCTCCATGACTTTTTGCATCATCTTGCATGCCATTTTGGTTTGTTTCCCTTGGGAATTGTTCATACAGAAACCACTTGCAATGGAGCTTCAGCCATTTCTGTTCTAATCTTTCTTCTAGTAAGGTCCGTGCACTTTTATGAATCGATGCAGGGGACCAAATATTGATGCGATGAATGGGGCTATTAGAGAATACAAGGATGAAGAACTGAGGTGTTATCGTTACTGGTATATATTTGAGAGTTATATGATTTGCATGCAGCAGACTGTGGATTTGCTTGCCAAATATAATGATTGTTGAATTTTAACTCAAGAGGATGCTTGTTTGTATAAAATGCTTTTTGGTCCAGCTTCCTTGAGCATTTGGAATATAAGTTCTATGCTCCCGTTGCACGTCTCCGCTTTCTTTCTATCTATTTCCTCATGTGAGTCACATGAGGACAGAGATGGGAAGAGATAAAGGGGACATGTGAGGTGCAAAATTATTTGTAGGATTTTCTTAGACACTTTTGTTATGAAATACAATCAGTTTGACAATCACAATTATTTTGCTGACACTGGAAATGAATATTTTGTGTCATTTCAATTTTTGCTCACTTGAAAATTAAAATTAAGCCATATATAAAGATGAGTTGAAAAGATGTATTGTCTATATTTGACACGGTTCATTAGTTTTCTAAATCTACATTATGATATTATTTTCTATATTGAGTGAAAATATTGGAGGAAATGAAATTCATGAATTTTGAGGAAGTTTTGCTTTCTTCCATTGTTGGTTTTGAATATTTTGTGGCCATATAATTTCGATAATTTCTTTATAGCAACTGTCGCATTTCTCTTCTTACAGAGGGGAGTTCGTGCTGTGACTTTTCTTAGAGTCATTTTGAGGGGCATGACAATTCCTATATGCCATATCCTAAGGACTAGACAATTCCTAGGGATCATACTACACTGAGGAGGATTCTGATAATGATAAGGCTGCCATAGGGGAGGACTAGAAGGAAAGCTTCAGAGAGTAAAACGAAGAAATTAATGCTAGTTTATCAGATCTTTACTTCTTGGCCTACAAAATAAGAACACACAAACACAAATATTTATCAATTTTGGTTGATGCAGAACTTGTAAAAATTCTAAAAATTTCTTTGAGATCATTTAAAAATACAGGTTATATAGGCGTGTCTAGACAGTAGGGATGAGTAGTGTTCATGTTGGTCCAAGAGAAGAGAAGTTGAGAAGAACGAAATGGGTCTCTGGGTTTTAGAGAAGAGAAGGTGAGAAGAACGTTGACCTCAATCCCATTCCAAATAACCTTGAAAACCCATCGGTTGAAATTGATGGGTTGGATATGATTTTAGAAGACAGTGGAAAGTGTTCGAACAAATATATCACTCCTTAATCGAAACATTGTTTTGTGGTTTGTGTTAGATATTGTTTTTTATTGTTGGTATAAGAACAATCAGTTATACAATTATTTAATTCTAATAGTTAAATAAGCACAACTAGGGCTGGGCAATTAAACTGCCAACCCGAAAAACCGGCCGAACCAAACTAATCGAGTTAGTTTGGTCCGGTTATTTATTTATTAATTATTTAATATCAGGTTCAAATCGAACTGAACTGGTCAGTCCGGTCTAGTTTACAATTTAAGATTTTAAATGAATCGGTTTACCCAAACTGATCGAGTTTGCAACAAAGGGGTTTGAACCCCACACCTCCACGTAAGAATCGTTCTTGCTTTCCACTGGAGCAAACAACCTTCATGTGTAATCTTTCCAAAAATATGATATATAATTAGTTACTCAGAATAACAAATATTATAAAAAAATGTGAGAGCATACATACAAGTGGACATGACCATCATGCACTGCTGCATCTATGCCGAAACCAATGTTGTTTTTCTTTCTTTTGTATTTTTTTATTCTTTTTCTTCTCCCAATATCTCACCTTTCCCAACCTCTTCATTTTTTATTGTTTTTCCATCTTCTTCTTACTCTTTCCGTCACTGTCCATCTCTCTATCTCTCCCTCTCTCTTTTTTATTTCTTTTTCCTTCTTCACTCCATCTCTCTTTCTTTTCTTCCTCAGTCTCTGCAATTTTTTCCTCTTCTCTCATATCTCTCTCTTTTTTCTATTTTTTTTCCATGCTCTCTCTTCTTTCTATTGTTTTCCATCGCTCTCTCTCCTCTTCCTTCTTCTCCTTCTTCCTCCTGCTGTCTGTCTTCTTCTTTTCCTATTTTTTTTCCTTCTTCTTCTTCCTTTCTCCCCTATCTCAATCTCTCCCTCTATCGAATTTTTTCCCCAGCTTTCTTCTTGCTCTCTCTTTTCGGACTAAACCCAAAACCGAACCAAACCAAACCACAAACTCCGGTTAACCAGAATGGTCGGTTTCATTGGTTATGGTTCGGTGTACTGTTTCAAAAATAGCTAAGCCGAAGCCTTCAGTTCGGCTCCGAGTTGAACCCAAAACAGAACCAACCCGGACAAAGCCCAGGCCTAAGCACAACACTAGTAAAATAAATAAATAAAATGAAATTCCATAAAACAATAAAGAAAACATGTCTGTTTCTGCAACGTAAAGAGCTTCTATTGCACTTTCACCTTTTCTTTCGTTTTTGTAGAAATGTCACATAAACTTATATCTCAGTTTCACGTTGTCATCTTAAAGAAAATTTTGAACTTAGTGAAAAAGAAAATCCACCACCCATACAACTACACTTAACCGACAAATTCCAAAGAAATATCAAAAGACCACAGAAAACATGAGGCTCATCTACCAACCCATACATCAGCCACAGTGGGCATTCATAATCTATTGCATATATCATACCATCTTCACGTACAATTTGCAGCACTTCACTAATTCCTTCCCTATTTTCCATATGGTACCAAAAATGAGAATGATTTAGTGAAATATTCATCTAGGCCTTCAAATGTTTTCCGCATTCTCTGTTTGGGTAAGGTAATCTATAATTTCTCGTAAATGAGGAAAAATGCTAAAGTGATTACATTGCTTGATAATTGATAATGATGTTTACTCGTTGCATCAATTATTATGATAAATTATTCAGACGTTTATTCAGATAGTTAATGTGGTTTTTTTAAATTAAAAAAAGAAGTAATGATCTAGTGTTATTTATGCCCGTCAACAAAAAAAAAAAAGGGGGGGTGTTATTTATGCCTTAAAAAAATGTTCAATTCAATTCAATCATACACCATTCTTCTGATTCTACTGTTTCTCTGCTGCAAATTGCAATGAGGCTACTATTTTTGTGGGGTCCTTCGGCCATATGATGCCCTCTAGATCATGAAAACATTATCTAATGGACTTTTACATTTGAAATTCCATCTAAAACATATGCTCATGCTATACTATAATGGTCCAATTCCAATCCCAAGACCTCTCACAACTCCTGATTATTCACCCTCCATTATCCTTGGCAATTGCTGAATCTCAGTTGTCTCAAAAATTCCATCTCCTCAAAGCATGGGAGTCAGAACTCCCTCTAGACCAGTTCTTGACCACCTATGCATGCTCAGTCCAAGCCATGCTTTGCTACCCTTTCACTCAGGTCAATGCAGACCTCCTCCGGCTGCTTCCGGCACTCAAACTTGTTGTCAGCCCCACCGCTGGGGTCAACAACATCGACTTGGTCGAGTGCCGGCGGCGTGGAATATCAATGACCACTTCCGGGAGTGCATTCTCAGAAGATGTTGCTGATACTGCCGTAGGGTTGCTCATTGATGTGCATAGAAGAATCTCAGCAGCAGATCGGTTTGTGAAAGGGCTTTGGACTAGCAAAGGAGATTATCCTCTTGGTTCCACGGTAATGCTAGCTAGAGAGATCTCATTTACTAAGTTTCTAAACCGCATATGTACATTAGTTTATGGCAGTTGATTTTTTAATTAACAATTAACGATAATAATTTATGTAATATGTACACATCCATGACTCACGAAAACTGATTAGTTCTTTAGCATTGGGGATTGAATATGTTCTTTATTTCTTGTTGTAGTACACAAACACCCTAGTTGATCCTTTGATATTAAATGATTGATTGACTCTCTATATATTTTATTATTATCTATATATATAAAGAAAAATGCAGAGATCGGTGAAACATTCAAAATACCAGAAAATGCCCTTGGTTAATTCAAACATTAAGAATTGAAATTATTAATTAAATGATGATATATGATAAATTCATATTTTTCATATTAAAAAATTATTAAAAGAAAAATCAAACAATGAATCTTATTTTTATGGAATACAACTACCCATCATATTTTCTAATTCTAAAATAAATTTAAAATTTTCTGAAAAAAAGTCTCTCGCAAGCACGGAAGTGCGTGTGAAGAGGCTAATTTATGTAATATTAATTGTCAACTGGTAATTGATTTCAGTTAGGAGGCAAGCGAGTTGGGATTGTTGGATTAGGAAGCATTGGCTCTGCAATTGCAAAGAGACTGGAGGCCTTTGGGTGCATTGTCTCATACAACTCAAGGAGCAAAAATCCATCTTTAACATACCCCTTCTATTCCAGTGTTCATGAACTTGCAGCCAATAATGATGCCCTCATCATATGTTGTCCATTGACAGACCAAACCCACCACATGATCAACAAGGAAGTCTTATCAGCACTGGGAAGAGAGGGAGTGATCGTTAACGTGGGACGAGGGGCTATTGTTGATGAGAAGGAATTGGTGAGGTTTTTGGTGCGTGCTGAGATTGGAGGCGCTGGTTTGGATGTGTTTGAGAATGAGCCTCATGTTCCTGAAGAACTCTTTGCTTTGGACAATGTTGTTCTGTCCCCACATAACGCTGCTTTTACTCCCGAATCTGTAGAGAGTTCGAGTCGAATAGTTATTGCCAATTTGGAAGTTTTCTTCTCAAATGAGCCTTTGGTTACTCCATTAATTCATGGATGACTAAATTTGATCTTATGTGTTGTTTCCTTTATTTTTTTCAGACATTTTTTTTTGGCTGAACTCTGTTCTTGCGGAAGTGATTGCTTGGCTTTGCAAGAAGCTATGAATTACAATGACTCTGATTATCTCATTTGACTGGCAGTTTTCCTTGTTCTTATTTCCAACATTATTCTTAAGCTTGTAACATCTCTTCGTCAAATTCCTTTTGATCAAATTCCACCAACTCAGGATTTGCTTTGAAGTTGCAAAAAGACTCGAGGCCTTCTATTCCAATGGATGATTTAGTATATTATTGGCCAATAAAAAGACAATCAATTATAATTTTTGCTCCCTTAGTTTTGGCCAATAGCCAAACGACAGTTAACCGACACGAAATGCAAAAATGCAAAAATGCGGCCAAAAAAAAAACAGAACACAACATCAAACGAATACCACAGAAAAACAAGAGGCTCCCACACACCCCTGTTGAATATTGGCTCAAATATTGTTTGGCTTACTATTTCTGTTGTGTTGCATGTCGTCCACTGGAAAAAGGAAGAGGTTATTATTTCCTTTCTCATGCATTTGCTGAAAGAAAAGGAAAAAACCAAAAAAGAGTGTTTTTTGTTGATAGAATTTTATATTAACAAAAGTACAAAAAGAAGACATGCATGCAACATGTGGGCAAGCTATTAATGGAAGGGAATGATGGCTGAAGTCAGCCATTAAAAAAAAAAAAAAAAAAAAAAAAAAAAAAAACGGAGGGGGGGGGGGAAAAAAAAAAAAAAAAAAAAAGCTATGAAGGAAGCGGGAAAATGGGAAGGCAAGTTTGACTAGCTGTATATCACTATTTGCATGTGATTGTTTATCCCTTGATTCACAGATTGGCTGCTATATTTATTAAGCCACTTGGGCTATGTGGCAATCATATTGATTGCAAGATTAGGAGTGGCAGCCTTGAGCTTTAGAGAGAGAAGAGAAGTTGAATAATCTTTGTATTATTGCTACTACTTTTGGCTCTTGGGTTCTTTGAGAAGCCAACTAGAGCTATGCGTAATCAGGGGCTTCGTTGGTAGCAAGAGAGGTGTGTGCAGGTGTGCTGCACTGTGCGGCACCAAAGAAGAGCGGCTGGTTTCTTTTCAATGCTGGTGGTTGAGTTGTTTCGATGCATTAACTTCCCTTGTTTTGTGGAGGACTTTGAAGGTGCTCATGCAGCTATTGGGCCAAGTTCTTGGTTATATAATGAAGGCTTGGTAGAGCGAAAGGCGTGGGTAGTTTTGGTGAGCACAATAGGTGAGAGAGTTCTCGTCATGGAGCAAGCTGTATGCACCATGGTGTCTTTGCTGCTGCACCTTTTGCATGAGGAAGAGATGGTGATGTGAAGAACTTCTTTGTTTATAAGCGTTCTTCATATCTTTGTAGCCTCTATTTCTCTTTTGGTGTATGTGTGTGAGTGACTTGGGTGTATTTGGGATTTGGATTGTGAGAGTTAAACTCTGTAATTCCTAGACTATGAGAGAGTGTTTAATCTCCTTTGGGATACCAGTGGAAGTTCTTGTCATCTTCGAACTAGATGTAGGCTACACATGGGCTGAACTAGTATAAATCCTTATGTCTCTTGGATTTTGCTATTTTCATATTTGTCTTGTTGTTTCAACGGTTCCGTATTGTCCACCTAGTGCAACCCACTTCCACTGCGCACAACAACCCCATCTCCTCCACCAACCCTACATCAACAGCAATAGGGTTGATCACACAGCGTGTTCCATCTATATTTTCTACATGTTACTAAAATGAGGAGGATGGAAAGTGAAATATTCATCTGGGCCTTCAAATGAAAGGTAGTCTCAATAATTTCTCATAACTGAGGGAAATTGCTAAAGTATTAGATGACTTATAAATGATGATGCATATTTGTTACATCAATTATTCAATAACACATTTACTTAGAGGATCCGAATCCTGATTAATGTGGTTAAAAAAATGTGATAATCCAGTGCTATTTGATAGATTGCCCAATGCATAAAAAGGGCACTAACGAATCAATAAAATGTGAGATTTTTTATTCATATGGGGTGTTCGTCACTTCAAACCACTCAATAAATAAATATATATATATATATATATAAATTATCATAAAATAGATTGGATCTTGAACACCCCTACACTTGATCTAAAATATAAAACAAGAGCTCTATATAGAGTACCGCAATAACAAAAATATATGGAACCAATCAATTTTGATCAGAACAGAAATCATGAAACTGCGGTACTTGTTTTTGTTTTTCCAATCATTGTCTACATTAAACAAATCACAAAGCACGACATAAACTAATGTGTTTGTAGATGAAGTGATCAGCTCAGCTAGCTAGAGCCATTGAAACGACAATGCTTCTTCTAAATGATTCTTAAACCAAGATTATGAATTCAATTACTTCGTGGAAATCGCTAGTGATGCTAATTTTGTTTTTTCTTTCATTCTTTAATTACTTGCATGTATGCGCATGCCGTTTCTTATTATGACAAAGATGCTTCAAAGAAATTTTTGTTGATACAAACCAAATTTTATTTTAATCTAATTCAAATTATGGGGAGGGGAGATTCAAACTCAATTGTAGAGTATGGAGCACATTTTGGCTAAACCCATGTTTGCGCTCACTAGCAGACCTATACATGAGCAAGGTGGTGCAGCTGCACCTCCCCTTGTCGGAAAATCCTTTGGGGTGACCGGAATTTGCCCTTTTGATGGTGCCCACTATGTGTTCGATTAAATGTCTAAAAGAGACTTTATAATATTCAATTTAATTTCTGCTTCACATAAACTTGTTGTCTCCCAAAATTCTCTTAATGATATATCTCTATTTAATAAATATCCATGAGCTTTAATCTCCCTTTTTGGCATCAGTCCTTTCTTAGTTTCTCAACTTATAATTTAATTTTGTTTTATGCAGATTTCACATTTATTTATTCAAAGTTTCTCTCTTCTCTGTCGACTAATGTAGATGAGTTCATGGACTCCTTGCACTTGGATTTCCCTCACATACTTTTAGCCTTTTAAATATTGTCCATTCCCTGAAAAATTCCTGGGTCTACCAGTCTGCGCTTCAAAGAAATTTTTGTGACACTTGTAAAAATATGTGCAATTAATTATTATATATTTTGAGGTTATGAATCTCAACTCTAGTTTTGTCTGAAACCTCTATTCTATGTTAGCTTTATCTGTCTCGGGTCCAAATCAATATAAGTATCTGATAAGACAATGGCAAATAAATACCCCCCCCCCCCCCCCCCCCCCCCCCCCCCCCCCCCCCCCCCCCCACCCCCCCCAAAAAAAAAGGTTATGGAAATGGACGAAAATCATCTTCTTCTTTTTTAAAGACAATGTTTGCCATGTGATCAGATGAAAACCAAACATGAAAAATTTAGTGATTCGGTGGCCCATGTGAGTTGGCTTCAAAGAAATGAATAATTATTATCTACATGGATTACGGAGCATCCTAATTGTCTTACGTGATTATGTTACGCGTTGAAATTTGTCAACAGATAATTGAAATCCTCTTTTGTTTAAAGTAAATTAAAGTGGTTTTTATGATTGGAAATGCCAAATAGGAGGCAAACGAGTCGGGATTGTCGGATTGGGAAACATTGGCTTAGAAGTTGCCGAAAGACTTGAGGCCTTTGGCTGCAACATATTGTACAACTCAAGGACTGAAAAGCCATTCTTTTCGTACCCTTTCTATTCTGATATCTGTGAACTTGCTGCTAACAGTGACGCCCTTGTCATTTGTTGTGCATTGACTGCTGAAACCCACCACATGATCAAGAAAGTCTTGTTTGCTCTGGGAAGAGATGGCGTGATTGTAAACATAGGACGCGGTCACGCGGAGCTATAATCGATGAGAAGGACATGGTGCGGTGTTTGGTGAAAGGAGAGATTGGAGGTGCTGGTTTGGATGTGTTTGAGGATGAGCCTGAAGTTCCTGAAGAGCTCTTTGCATTGGACAATGTTGTACTGTCGCCACATTATGCTACCTACACACCAGAATGTTTCATGGCTTTGTGCGAACTAGTAGCAGGGAATTTCGAAGCATTCTTCTCAAATAAACCGTTGCTTTCACCGGCTGTGGATAATTAAATCGATTTCTATTTGTAGGTTAGTGTCTCCATGACTTTTTGCATCATCTTGCATGCCATTTTGGTTTGTTTCCCTTGGGAATTGTTCATACAGAAACCACTTGCAATGGAGCTTCAGCCATTTCTGTTCTAATCTTTCTTCTAGTAAGGTTCGTGCACTTTTATGAATCGATGCAGGGGACCAAATATTGATGCGATGAATGGGGCTATTAGAGAATACAAGGATGAAGAACTGAGGTGCTATCGTTACTGGTATATATTTGAGAGTTATATGATTTGCATGCAGCAGACGGTGTGGATTTGCTTGCCAAATATAATGATTGTTGAATTTTAACTCAAGAGGATGCTTGTTTGTATAAAATGCTTTTTTGTCCAGCTTCCTTGAGCATTTGGAATATAAGTTCTATGCTCCCATTGCACGTCTCCGCTTTCTTTCTATCTATTTCCTCATGTGAGTCACGTGAGGAGAGAGGAAGAGATAAGGGGGACATGTGAGGTGCAAAAATTATTTGTAGGATTTTCTTAGACACTTTTGTTATGAAATACAATCAGTTTGACAATCACAATTATTTTGCTGACACTGGAAATGAATATTTTGTGTCATTTCAATTTTTGCTCACTTGAAAATTAAAATTAAGTCATATATAAAGATGAGTTGAAAAGATGCATTATGTCTATATTTGACACGGTTCATTAGTTTTTTAAATCTACATTATGATATTATTTTCTATATTGAGTGAAAATATTGAAGGAAATAAAATTGATGAATTTTGAGGTGCTTTCTTCCATTGTTGGTTTTGAATATTTTGTGGCCATATAATTTCGATGATTTCTTTATAGCAACTGTCGCATTTCTCTTCTTACAGAGGGGAGTTCGTGCTGTGACTTTTCTTAGAGTCATTTTGAGGGGCCTGACAATTCCTATATGCCATATCCTAAGGACCAGACAATTCCTAGCGATCATACTACACTATGGAGGATTCTGATAATGACAAGGCTGCCATAGGGGAGGACTAGAAGAAAGCTTCAGAGAGGAAAATGAAGAAATTAACGCTAGTTTATCAGATCTTTACTTCATGGCCTACAAAATAAGAACAGACAAACACAAATATTTATCAATCTTGGTTGATGCAGAACTTGTAAAAAGAAAAGAGAAGGTGAGAAGAATGAAATAGGTCTTTGGGTTTTAGAGAAGAGAAGGTGAGAAGAACGTTGACCACAATCAAATAACCCTGAAAACCCATTGGTTGAAACTTGAAACTGATGGGTTGGATATGATTTTAGATAACACTAGAAAGTGTTCGAACAAATATGTCACTCCTTAATCGAAATATTGTACTGTGGTTTGTGTCAGATATTGTTTTTTCTTGTTGGTGTAACAACAATCAGTTATACAATTATTTAATTCTAATAGTTAAATAAGCACAACAATAGTGAAATAAATAAATAAAACGAAATTTAATAAAATAGTAAAGAAATCATGACTGTTTCTGCAACGTAAAGAGCTTCTATTGCACTTTCACTTTTTCTTCATAGAAATGTCACATAAACGTATACATCAGTTTCAATTTATCACCTTAAAGAAAAATTTAAGAAAAATGATATCTTAATTTTTCAAACTTCATGATTTGTCATGCCGCTCAAGATTTGCTTTGAAGTTGCAAAAAGACTTGAGGCCAATGAAACGACAATCAATTATAATTTTTGCTCCCACGAAATGGAAAATAAAAAATAAAAAATACAGAACATAACATCAAATGAATTATGCCACAGAAAAACAAGAGGCTCCCACACATCCCATCTCCTCCACCAACCCTACATCAGTAGCAATATCACACCGTGTTCACCTAACATTTTCAGTACTTCACTAATTCCATCTATATTTTCCACATGTTACTAAAATGAGGAGGATGGAAAGTGAAATATTCATTTGGGCCTTCAAATGAAAGGTAGTCTATATAATTTCTCGTAATTGAGGGAAATTGCTAAAGTATTACATGACTTATAAATGATGATGCATTCTCGTTATATCAATTATTCAATAATACATTTAATGTGGTTAAAAAATGTGATGATTTAGTGCTATTTGTTAGATTTTTCTACAACAACGATTTGCGTTAAATGCAAGTCCAGGGTAACCATTAAATTTATATGATTCACACTTCTCTATTAAGTCATGGATTCATCCACCCATTAAATCGTGTTCGTGTTTAATGCAAATTTACAGTGAAGATGTACCCTACTTGTTGATAGTTGAGGTCATTGAGAATATTTTTTGGGGTGCCTGAGTGCCTCCACCATATGCAGACCTCTGGATCACGAAAATATTATAATGGTCTTTTGCATTTGAAATTCCATCTAAAACATATGCTACTATAATGATGGCCCAAGACCTCCCACAGCTCCTGATTATTCACCCTCCATTATCCTCGACACATATTGAATCTCAGTTGTCCCGAAAGTTCCATCTCCTCAGAGCATGGGAGTCAGAACTCCCTCTAGACCAGTTCTTGACCACCTATGCACGCTCAGTACAAGCCATGCTTTCCTCCCCTATCACTCGAGTCAATGCAGACCTCCTCCGGCTGCTACGGGCACTCAAACTTGTTGCGACCCCCACTGCTGGGGTCAACAACATGGACTTGGTCGAGTGCAGGCAGCGTGGAATTTCAGTGACCCCTTCCGGGAGTGCATTCTCAGAAGATGTTGCTGATATTGCCATAGGGTTGCTCATTGATGTGCATAGAAAAATCTCAGCAGCAGATCGGTATGTGAGAAAAAGGCTTTGGACTAGCAAAGGAGAATATCCTCTTGGTTTCAAGGTAATGCTACTTTCTGATTAGTTCTTTAGCATTGGGGATAGAATGATTGCTTGACTTTCTACTTTCTTATTTTTTATTTCAGTTAGGAGGCATTGGGATTGTTGGATTAGGAAACATTGGCTCTGAAGTTGCTAAAAGCCTTGAGGCCTTTGGGTGCATTGTCTCGTACAACTCAAGGAGAAAACAGCAAGCTTTGCCTTATCTCTTCTATTCCAATGTTCATGAACTTGCAGCCAATACTAATGCCCTCATCATCTGTTGTGCATTGACAGATCAAACTCACCACATGATCAAGAAGGAAGTCTTATCTGCATTGGGAAGAGAGGGAGTGATTGTTAACGTCGGACGGGGGGCTATTATTGATGAGAAGGAATTGGTAAGGTGTTTGGTGCATGGAGAGATAGGAGGTGCGGGTTTGGATGTGTTTGAGAATGAGCCTCATGTTCCTCAAGAGCTCTTTGCATTGGACAATGTTGTTCTGTCTCCGCATAAGGCTGCTCTTACTCCAGAATCTTTCGAGAGATCAAATCGAATAGTTATTGCCAATTTGGAAGCTTTCTTCTCAAATAAACCTTTGGTTACTCCATTCAATGGGTGACTAAATAAGATTTTATGTACTGGTTTTTTTTTCTTTTGGGACATTTTGTTTCTTGTAGCTTTTTTTTATTTTTTGGCTGAACTCTGTTCTTGTGGAAGTGATTCCTTGGCTTGCAAGACGCTATGAATTAGTATTTGTGACAATGAGTCTGATGATCATCTCATTTGATTGGCAGTTTTGAGTTTTCTTATTTCCAGCATTATCTTAAGCTTGTAATATCTCTGTTTGACCTTTTTCAAATTCCTTTTGATCAGACCTTACTTAGAAAAGTCAGCCAAACAGAATATCTGAAGGCAACACATCAAATCAATACCACAGAAAACAAGAGGCTCTCAAACCAATCTCCACCAACCCTACATCAGAAATCAAAATTGAGTACACAGAGGGCATTCACTTATGATTTGTACTTGTGACATCAATTATTAATTAGAACATCAACTGACATGTGAACAAACTAATGTAGTTACAAAATGTGATGGCTCTTGCATTATTTGTTGATATTTTGAGGAAAAAACCAACATACTATAATGGCCCAATTCCAATCCCAAGACCTCCCACAACTCCTGATTATTCACCCTTCAGCATTCTTCACTCATTTCCAATCTGAGTTGTCCATAAAGTTCCATATCCTCCATGCAGGGGAGTCACCACTCCCTCTAGACCAGTACTTGACCACCTATGCAGGTTCAGTCCAAGCCATGCTTTGCTACCATGCCACTCAGGTCAATGAGGACCTCCTCCGACTGCTACCGGCACTGAAACTTGTTTTGACTTGCACTTCTGGTGTCAACCACATCGATGTTGTAGAGTGCAGGAGGCGTGGAATTGCCATAGCCACTGCCAGAAGTTTGTACTCAGAAGATGTTGCTGATATTGGTGTTGGTTTGTTCCTTGATGTGCAGAGAAAAATTTGAGCAGCAGATCGGTACGTGAGGCAAGGGCTTTGGACTAGCAAAGGAAATTACCCTCTTGGTTCCAAGGTCACTACACGTCTCTCACCAACATTGTTTTTATTTTTCTTTTAAGGACTGACTGATGTTTTGTTTCTTTTTTTTGGAATATGTTAGTTGTGTTAGGGGATCACGATCTTTAGTTATAATGTCTCCAACATAATCACAAAAACTCTTGCTCTAATTATTGCTTAACTTTCTATTTTCCATTTTATAATTAATACTGGTAATGAAATTCAGTTAGGAGGAGGCAAGCGAGTTGGCATTGTTGGATTAGGAAGCACTGGCTTGGAAGTTGCAAAGAGACTTGAGGCCTTTGGCTGCAGGGTCTCATACAACTCAAAGAGCAAAAAGCCATCTTTGCCATACCCTTTCTATTCCAATGTTCATGAACTTGAAGCTAATAATGATGCCCTCATCATATGTTGTGCATTGACAGACCAAACCCACCACATGATCAACAAGGAAGTCTTATCAGCACTGGGAAGAGAGGGAGTGATCGTCAACGTGGGACGAGGGGCTATTGTTGATGAGAAGGAATTGGTGAGGTTTTTGGTGCGTGGAGAGATTGGAGGTGCTGGTTTGGATGTGTTTGAGAATGAACCTCATGTTCCTGAAGAGCTCTTTGCTTTGGACAATGTTGTTCTGTCCCCCCATAAGGCTGTTCACACTACAGAATCTTTCCAAAGTTCAAATGAATTCATGCTTGCCAACTTGGAAGCTTTCTTTTCAAATAAACCTCTGCTTACTCCACACACTGAGGGAGAGGAATTCGAACTTGTACCTAGAGTCTAGTGTGAGTAAGTACTCTTAACTACTAGAACAACAATATTTGACTCTTTTTTTTGTCCATTACGTATTAGTAAACTATGCGTTCTTGTAGAAGTGATTCATTTACAGAAGTTATGAACATTGGTGACAATGAATAATTACATATGATATGATCTCATTTGGAATTGACCCGGATCTGGGCTGGGTTGTTAGGTAGGCTCTGTTGTGGTTGGGCTCTGCTCCCTTATGTCCTCTATCAGAAGGCACAAAGACTTATAGGTCGGCTTTAGGGTTGGGTCAAACTAATCCTCAATATTCAATGGCTAGGAATGCCATGCCATATGGAATTAACCTTGGGTTGGGTTGGACTTAAATAGAAGGCCTAATTTCAATTAAGATAGATTGCCCAATGCATAAAAAGGGCACTAATGAATCGATAAAATGTGAGATTTTTTATTCATATGGGGTGTTCGTCGCTTCGAAACCACTCAATGAAAATGCTTATATATAAATTTTCTTCAAATCGGATTGAATCTTGAACACCCCTACACTTGATCTAAAACATAAAACAAGAGCTCTATATAGAGTACCGCAATAACAAAATATATGGAACCAATCAATTTTGATGAAAAGGGGTTAAATGCCATACACAGATGAGAACAGAAATCATGAAACTGCGGCACTTGTTTTTGTTTTTCCAATCATTGTCTACGTTAAACAAATCACAAGGCACGACATAAACTAATGTGCTTGTAGATGAAGTGATTAGCTAAGCTAGCTAGAGCCATTGAAACGACAATGCTTCTTCTAAATGATTCTTAATCCAAAATTATGGATTCAATTACTTCGTGGAAATCGCCAGTGATGCTATTTTTGTTTTTTCTTTCATTCTTTAATTACTTGCATGTATGTGCATGCCGTTTCTTATTATGATAAAGATGCTTCCAATAAATTTTTGTTGATACAAACAAAATTTTATTTTAATCTAATTTAAATTTTGGGAAGGGGGATTCAAACTCGGATGCAGAGTGGAGAGCATATCTTGGCTAAACCCATGTCTGCGCTTGGAAGAAATTTTTGTGACACTTGTAAAAAAAAGTGCAATTAATTATTGTATATTTTGAGGTTATGAATCTCAACTCTAGTTTTGACTTTAGAATAAATTAGAAACCCCAAAATTATTATATTTTCCCCAAAATTAGAAGCTTATAAGCATCTATGTTAAACATGGATAAATTAATATACATTAAAGAATTTTTGGTGGTTATGATACATGTTGCATGTAGCCCCTTTTCTAGGATATTATTGGCACCTTGAAACCTCTATATGTCTCTTTGTTAGCTTTTTCTGTCTTGGGTCCAAATCAATATAAGTATCTGATAAGACAATGGCAAATATATAAGCCCCCTTAGTTATGGAAATGGACGAAAAACATCTTCTTCTTTTTTAAAGACAATATTTGCCATGTGATCAGATGAAAACCAAACATGAAAAATTTAGAGATTTGGTGTCTCATGTGAGCAATAAGGCTTCAAAGAAATGAATAATTATTATCTACATAGATTACGGATCATACTAATTGTCTTACGTGATTATAGAAAAAAATATATTATATTACGTGATAAGAGAAATAAACACAAAGTTACATTGTAATTGTAACCAAGCTAGAAAATTTCCAAAACAACATTTCCTGAGGAAAGAGAAGGTTAAGGCACGCTTGCCTATTTTTAAAAGAAATTATACAAAAACAGTTTACAATGCAAATCATGCAAACCATTATAGAACAAATTTAGGCTTTTCCTTTCTTTCTTTTTTTTAGTTATTGCCCTGACTCATGTCTCATGCTCATAGCCGGCCAATTTATCTTATTTTATTTAGCAAACGACAATAATTTAAGGTCAATATTGTCTTTTGGTCTCGAATTTTTTCATAACTACACTTCCTTTCCTCTCATAAATAATCATACCTTTTGGCTTTTGTTAACAAAAATTTGCATCCAAGGATCTTACGAAAAGCATGTTATGAATTGAAAATTAATCAAACAAAAGAAATTACCACTCCGATTCAGTTCACCTTCTACTTTAACAAAATAAATTACCTAGCATAAAAAATAGGGAGTTTCACTAAAACACCCAAAATGGGGGCTGAAATTATAAAAAAACCCAACACCCAAAACACTTTATAAACACACCCAAAACCCATCATTACACACACTCAAAACCCATTTATAAACACACCCAAAAAATATACAATTGTTGATTTTAAGGTTGATTTTGGGTGTGTTTCTATGTTTAAATAGTGCTTGGGTTTTTTTATAAATACATGTATAGAATTGGGTTTATTTATAAATTTGTATAAAAAATAAAAATAATTTAATACAGTCACATAATAATGAAAACTCTATTAAGATCACTCTCACCCGTCCAAAAGTCTATAATAATCTTGAATATATAGAGTAGGATGTGGAATTACTAGAATATTTACTATATATGTTGGTCCAATCCTGAATGGATTAATTGAAAAAATAAAATATAAATGTCCGTTTGGTAACCATTTGAATTTTAGTTTGTAGTTTTCATTTGTTGTGCTAAAGTATAAAGGAAAAAGAGGGAGAATGGAAGTAAGAATGTCAATTTGGCATTGCTGTGCTGTGAAAATAATCGCTGTCAGATTTGCTATGAGAGAAATCAGCTGTGAGAGAAAGCAGTTTGGCGTTTGGTAAATTTTTGTTAAAAGTGTTGTTGGTATTGATTTTACGCATAATCAGAAAATGATTGCTGCATAATCATTAAACCCAACACCTCTTCTAAATTGATTCCTGCATAATCAAAAAATGAAAGCACCTCATTAGCTGCTTTCCCTTATAGCTTTCTCTCACAGCAATTTTTAACAATAAGTGATTTTTTCACAGTTTACCAAACGGGTTGGGCTTCTCAAAATTTTTAAAAAATCACTTATCACCCCAAATAAGCAATGCCAAACTAGCACTAGTGAAGATGAGATTAAGAGATAAGATGAGAGAAGAGAAGAGAGGAATGAGTAACAAAAGTGAAAACAAAAACTAAAAATTGAAATATATTTTAAATTGTTTTCACTTTTGTTACTTTTTCCTCCCATCTTCTCTCTCAATCTCATCATCACTCTCATTCTCACTCTCATGTTTCTCTATACTCTATCATAAAAAATGAAAACTAAAAACTAAAATTGAAATGGTTATCAAATAGATTGCATCCTTTCCACCAAGAAAGACTTCCATGAAATCTCCGGTCAATAATGCTATGATGATACAAGTGATAATATTTTTTTATGGCATAACATTATTGGGTACGGATAACAAATGATATCTTTATTGCAACTGAGTAATTCTCCCTTCCACTAACGGGGACTCGAAAACAATTGATATAGAAAAGATAAAGGCAATAAGCAAGTGTTTCCTTTTCATCCATCTGTCAGGGTATTTTGTTTTGGGATGTTGATTGATGTGATACAAACATTTCAAGCAACTCCTGTCGTACCTAAAAGTCATTTTGGTTTTTTTCTATATATATATATATATATATATATATGTATATACAGCTATCTGTTTATCTTAAATTAAAACGTACAACCTCTTTATCAAATGAACATGTTAAATTCAACACATGACATGCATGGAGAACCTTTTACATGACATGCATGTTATAATAAATGCATGTTGTGAAAAAAGTTATATTTAACTTATAAACATGACATAATTACGTTTTCACAATACATGCATGTGATAACTTTTTCTTTTTCTTTTTCTTTTTATTTTTGTTTGTGTTTTTGTTTTTGGGTGAATAATCGTTTTCACAATAAATATGTGAAGTTCAAAATATAACACGCATGCATAACCTATCACAACAACAAAATTGACATGAATGTTGCAGAAGAAAGTTATATATAGCTGAAATTGTCATAATTACGTTCTCACGATAAGCATATGAGATCTGCTACATCGTGAAAAAAGTTTTATAATACTTATAAACAAGAAATATTCGTTATGAAAGTGATATACACATGTGAGACTCATCACATAACAGTAAAACTTATGTGTATTTATATATTGTAAGAAAAGTTATCAATAAGAGATTTGGACTAACATGTCTATTGCGAAAAAAATTATATTTAACTGATGTATATACAGTCATTTTCACCAATCTAATAACATGTCATTTTTAAAAGGGAGAGAAGATATACATGGAAATAATGTACGTAATCAAATAGAGGAGTAGCTGTGTATTGCTTTGTCGATTACATTTTCAGCTTTCCAATGAATCAAAACGAACAAACAAACAAAAATATGGTCATGGTGAACCAGATCCATGCAAATTTCAGTTTCTGCAGCAATTGATGAAGAAGGTTGTCTTGCGTGCAGTACTTATTGCTTGACGTACACTCCAGCACAACAATGTTAATTGGCTTATATCATCTGGTTCTTACTTCAAATTACAAATTAATATAAGAAATAAATAGATAAACAAATACAATATTGGAAAGATTTGAACATATTTTAATGAAATCAAGCAAGCCGCTATGCAATTATTTGAAGAAGGATAACTTAAGACACACTTTATAACCTTTTTATTTTATTTTTTATGTTGATGAGGTAGGTTAGCTGCCTCGTAAGCAATTAAGAGAATGAGTTTTCGAATAAACAGATATTGTGCTTCGAATTTTCATCAACATTGAAAAGAAAAATATCAAGAGTTAATTGGTCTAACTTTTTTATTTTCCTCCCTCAACTGCTTTGGAGTCAAGGAAAAAAACAAATGTGGCCCACCTTCCATCAAACCCATGATCAAAAATTGCTCAACTCTAGTTCATTCTACTTGAAGAATACTAGAGATCCCACTTTTCTGCAAACGTTGACAGTACATGCATACACTGAAATCTTTGGTAAGTTGTCATGTCATGGAGATCACGCTCTTTGCTGGAGCTTGTTCCTCCCTTTTCTCTATTTGTGATGAAGACAAGCACAAACTTGGTGACCTTGAGACGTTTAATCCAGATTGGAATATATATATATATATATATATATATATATGTACGCGTGTGTGTGTGTGTGTGAATGCTGCTGGTATTCACTGGAAGTTAGGCTTTTTCTTTCTGCCCCAAAACACTTTATTAGTACTTAGTAACTTACCCATTAATTGCATCCAAATCATTTGCCATGTTAACTTAATTGTTAATGAGATAGATTACGAAGGATAATATATAAGATGCTATATTGTGTGAAGATGAAATGAAACAACACATCTGATTACGGACCATACATCATTCTGTGCCCAAATAAAAAACCCTTTTGCAGGTTCAGACCTCTAGAATGACAGAATCTATCCCATCACAACTTGCCCAAAATGGGGTTCTTTGGAGCAAAAGACCAGAAGGAGTTGTCCTGTCTCGTCTCCCTTCCACCTTTAATTAGTGTATCACACATGTAAAATCCTTGAGAAGCTCTAACAAATGCAAGGTTTTTTTCTTTTTGGTGGGTCAAATAGGCAGGTAAAGGTTTCCAAGTTCAAACCCAATTGCAAAGAAAGCTAACTATGGAAAATAGCTAACATATCTTTCCAGAATGTCTGGTTGGTGGCATTAGCATCGGGGGAGAACCTATCTTATATTTCTGATAGGCCTGGAAATTTTTTGGGAAAGACTTGGGATGATCTAGACCTAGAACTCATAGATACAGTATGTATGTATGTGTGTGGGTTGGGTTGGTTTTGGGGGATGTTAAAGTTAGAATGAAAGTATTATAGCTATGGGATAAGAGACACAGAGTGAGAGAGGAATGACGCAACAGTAAAAATAATAAGATTCTAATATTTGTTTACCGACCTCCCCAATGAACAGTCTTGGCTGTTTCTCTCCACTCCCTCTCACCTTCCTTTTAAACTCTGTCCTCCTTGCTAACTCTTCCTCAATAACCAACTCTCTCTCTCTTCTCTCTCTTCTCTCTCTCTTCTCTCTCTCTCTCTCTGTACTACAAGTACCAACCCAACAACCAACAAATAGTGCGCTTCCCAGTTCCAAAACTAAGAAGGCTGCATTATATGCTAAGCATGCCAATGCCGCCTCCTCAACATCTCCCACCAACAAATGAAGCAAAGAATGAAAATGAAGAAAACCCTTTGGTTTTTGATGCTTCAGTTGCTCAGTACCAATCCAGCATACCCTCCAAATTCATATGGCCCGACCACGAGAAGCCATGCCCTGAGCCGTCAGAGCTTCCAGTTCCTCACATTGACATGAAAGGCTTTCTCACAGGGGACACTAGGGAGGTCTCAAACGCGACTCGTTTAGTCGATGAGGCATGCAGGAAGCATGGATTTTTCCTCGTTGTTAATCATGGAGTTGATTCGCAGCTCATAGCAAAAGCTCATGAATACATGGACTTGTTCTTTGGCATGCAACTCTCACAGAAGCAAAGGGCTCAGAGAAAGACTGGTGACCACTGCGGATATGCCAGTAGCTTCATTGGCAGGTTCTCCTCCAAACTTCCATGGAAAGAAACACTTTCTTTCAGATATAGTGCCGACAGCCACTGCTCAGTCAATGACTATTTTGTGAATGTAATGGGTGAAGATTTCAAAGAATTCGGGTAAGAACACATAATCAAGAGTATAATGTTGTGATTCTGCAATAAAAGAAATATATCTACTCAAATTAATTTCATGATAGATAAGTGGATTATGTCATCACCAATCACTAAACCAACAAAATAATCATCATGATCTCATACATTACCAATAGCCCTTTACTTATGCAGCATATTTTTTCCCTGCTAGGAAGGTGTACCAAGAATACTGTGAAGCCGTGAGCAATCTCTCCAATGGGATAATGGAGCTGCTGGGAATGAGCTTAGGAGTTGGCCAAGAGTATTTCAGAGAATTCTTCGAAGGAAACGATTCAATAATGAGGTTGAACTACTATCCCAGATGCCAAAAACCAGATTTAACACTAGGAACTGGGCCTCACTGTGATCCCACTTCCTTAACAATTCTTCATCAAGATCAAGTAGGCGGCCTTCAAGTGTTTGTAGATGAAAAGTGGCGCTCTGTTACTCCTAAGCCTGATGCTTTTGTCGTCAACATTGGTGATACATTTATGGTAAGTTATTTCATTTATGAATTAGGCTCAGTTTGTTTAGACAGAAAATCTTTTTCGTTTTTCCCCCTACGAAAAGTCTACAAGACTCCAACATATGGGACAAAAACAGGACCTTCAGAAGACTTTCTACACAAAATATGAAGCACTCTTTATGAATTTGAATATGTGCTTTCTCTGATGTGATTTTTCAGGCTCTATCCAATGGGATTTACAAGAGCTGCTTGCATAGAGCAGTGGTAAACAACAGAACTGTGAGGAAATCTCTTACTTTCTTCCTTTGTCCCAAAAAGGACAGGGTGGTGACCCCACCAAGAGGTTTGGTTGATACCAAGAGCCCAAGGTTGTACCCGGACTTTACCTGGCCTACTTTGCTAGAGTTTACACAGAAACACTACCGGGCTGACATGAAGACGCTGGATGCCTTCTCGGACTGGATTATAAATAAAAACAACTAACCATGAAAGAAGCACCAGGAAAAGTAGGTGTACGTAAAGCTTTGGTGGGTGTTCATGGGAAAAGATGACAGAAACACCAAGAAGGGAGGAGAGGGAACTAGGCTGTTAACTAGTGTGTCATCGTCGGAGAGAATCATGTCAATTTGGAGGAATAAATAAGTTAAGGGGCTCCATAACTTCTTCTTAATTTTACTTTTCTGTCAATTCAACAATGAATCATTGTAATTATAATATATACTTTGTTGACCACCAAGCTGTGTTGTTATTGGACTTCCATAAACTATTCTAATTAATATCTGCATGTACAGCCGTCAACTTCCAAAGAAATTATGCCTCTCAGCATGATATCAAAGTAAAGGAACAGATAAACAGAATTGTTAATCTAGAACAATGTATACTTTAGTATATCTTAATTACTATGAGAAATTATATGCAGGGTGAGGTTTTTCTCATTTCATCCTCACAAGTATCGACAGTGACGTGAGTTTCAACAAGTAGGGTAATGTCCTTTGCTTAAGATGCACAAAGTTTTAATATATAAATTGTGTGCATCTTTGCTTTTTACTACTTCAACCAAAAGTGGAAAATAGTTTTTAGGTAAACATTAAAGAAATACTTGTAAAGAGAACATATGGCTTAGAATTAGATTCACAACCAAGCACCATAACAATTTTATATTAGGTTTTTCTAGTTTTAATATTATCTATTATATCTGTGTGGTTCAGCAACATTGCAATGGAGCACAAAATCAATTCTTTGTCAAATCAATTGAAAGAACTATCATTTGTTGGTAACATGAAAGTTTACTAAAGTGTGCTAAATCCTGACTATAATCTTATTACTATTGTACATGTTTACTTACCGGAAATGGAGGAAGCCATGAATCAGGGAATTTAGATAAAAGAATCAAGGTATTGGAATCGGATAAACTACTTCCCCTAGTTGATACCATTCCGATTTTGAGGGTATTTAATTACGGATTTTACGGTGGAATTCGCATCATATTTTATTCCTTATTTGTTAGTAAACGCGGAAAATCAGGAATTGGAATCATTCCAATACCCATGCATTAGTAAACAGAGGAGAACAATATATTGGATTCATTCCAATACTCATTCCTGATAAGTAAACATTCCAAAGACCCCTTGTTAAATAAAACTGTTAGAAGACTACACAAATGTAATTAAGCCATATTTTTATTAGCCTAATTTTAGCCATAATTTTCTTAGTAGAAAAAAAAAAAAAAAAAAAAAAAAAAAAAAAAGCAAGAACGTCCATGGCTGAAACACCAAGAATTGAGAAGAGCTCACCCAAATGTCAGCTGCTGAGTACCTACGAAAACCCAAGAGCTTGAAGCCTCAGACAACAACAAAGTGAAAAGGTTGAAGCAATTCCTCAGTTGCCCAACTGAAAACGATCAAATTGAAGCCAATGCGTGAAGGACCAAAGATAGGCCAAGGCGTAGCGAAGCAGAGTGTGGAGGTCAAGCTTGTGAGCTTAAGGGATGGAGTGGATGTCAAACTTGAGAGAGAACGATCGGGTTTTGTGTGGGAGATTTTAAAAATAAAAGAAAATGAAAAAGGCCAATATTTTACTTTTTACTTTTTCAAAAGCACTTTTTTAATGTCTGCTCAAATATGGTTTTGAATACCTTTTGCTTTTGGTAGTTAGAAGAAGAACAAGCAAGAATTGGGGAGTGATGGTTACTTTTACTTTTATCTTCTTTCATCTTGTTGTGATCTTGCAATTTAATTTGATATTTGAAATTGTTTAATTTATAAATGGGTATTAAAGGCATTTTTAGATAATTAAAGGCGTTTCTGACAATGTTTAGTTAAAAAAGTTAAAGACATCTAGGTTATAAAAGCACTTGGGAGTGCATTATGGAGGAAGCACATGTTCTTCAGAAATGCACTTCCGAGATGCACTTGGATTTTTATTAAAAATTTCGGCGTGCTAGTCAAAGCGCTCAAAGAGAATTAGAAGAATTAGAAAAAAAAAAAAAAAAAAAAAAAAAAAAAAAAAAAAAAAAAGAATTCATTCATTTTTCCATTTCCCTTAAACAACCTAAAAACTAAACGACTTCTAATTTGGTTGAGTTTATTCAGCAATGATTCTTTAAGGATGACTTAAATAATTAACAATTTAATTATCATACGACATTGTATAATAAGAATGAAAATGAATAATATAGAAGGGTGGTCAAGAAGTTATTAATTAGCATTCTCCAAAGAAATTATTGGTCAAGAAGTTGTGCATAAGTTGATTTTCCGCATATCATTTCTTTTTTATAATTGTTTTCATAGGTTAGATTACTTGTGGACACTAGAGGACTCATGAATTTTTTAGCGGATGTGCAATTTTGAAAGGCTAAAATTTTTGTGTGGATAACATCTCCGTTTGGATGAAGAAATTGCAAATTACATAGAATTCTAAATGACGGAATTTAGATTTCCGTCACTTCAATTTCTGGCAATTGAAGATTTCAGTGTTTGGATTTATGAATGTCGAATTTTGTAAATGATAGAAATTAAATATTTCAAAACAAAAAAAAACTGATAACCGACATAGAAGATATTCCTCGAAGTATAAAATAACATATCGTTTGATGAACTAAATAACTCAACTTAAACAAACATAGCATATTAGCAAACCAAATCACTACCCACATGCAATAAACATCAACAATGTACTCTTTTTTTTTCTTTTTTTTTTCTCAATTAGGAGTGCCTTCAGCATCTGAAATTGTTAGTCATTTTCTATTAGCCAAACACATGCTTTGAGTTGTTCATTTTACTAAGACCTGGTACTGCTTGTACTTCAACATATACCTCTACTGGATCAAGGTTCTTAGTATCAGCACGGATAAACTCTTCAAATGATAAAGCCATTCTAGCAATCAAATCAGCAATAACATCTTTGATAGAACCTCTTTTCTTTGTAGGAAGAATATCAGAAGAATTTGATGCACGATTTCTTCTCTTTTGGCCATTTGCTGAGGTTGGTGAAATATCATCAATAACATGAATATCTTCTAAATCTTGTGTATCACCATCCAAATCAACATGATCAACTTCATTAGTAGGAGTCATAACCTCAGTTGCATCTGCACCTATTTCAGCACCCTCTCCAATGGCATGAGACCTCTAGCATTAAATCGAAAACCTCTAGCATCGTCATGAGACTACCAAACAAATAATCAAAGTCAAATAAGAAAGAGGGAAGACCAAAATCGATTTTCAACAACATATAACAATCAATAAAGCTTTTCGTTTCCTTATAGAGTATATAAAAAGCTTTTCAGCAGCATAGGCTTTTTCTTCAAAGTAAAGAAACGAAGGGTAAAACTTGAACAAGGCGATAATACAAAGTGATAAAGCTAGCAAACAACTACAGAGCTGTACCATAAACACAAATCACACACCAATATCCATGGGCATAAAGTATTTTGTTAAAACTTCCCAAAATCCAGCCATAATGCCGCAAAGATCACAAAACCCATTCAACACATATTTATAAATTTTGTCAAAAACACCCAATTTGATAGCCATTCAAAAACCAGGGTAACCCTAAAATAGAAAAAACATAAATTGAAGGAGAGAAGGGCTTGAAGACTAACCTTCAAATTTGATCCACAGAGACGTGTACTTTTTTTTTAATGAAAAGTTTGGCGGTTTTTTTTATGTAAGTTTTGGCACATTGGAAAATATGAATTCCCGCACTATGAAAATTGTTAAATGACGCTATTTTGGTGGAAATTAAACTCGGGAATTTGATGCCTCAATTCCCATGAATTTTTCCATGCGTCATTATAAATTCTGCATTTAAGTTGCCAAACAAGGGAATTGTCAATTTTTCCTCTTAAATTCCAGACTTTTAGCTCAGTTCCGACTTATTTTCCCTTATCCAAACGTAGGCTAAGGTTTTTTTTACCTAGATTGACCTTAGGTCCCTTCACGCATTCATATCATAAATGAAAAATTGTTTTATATAAAAATATTGATTAAGTATGAAAAATGGTTTTTCAGAATAATCATTTTCTCAAGATAATTTTTGGCGGCTTTTATTTCTTACACATCAAATAAGAAAACTTGATTTTATGGTATTTTAATATGAAGTGTATATTGACTTAATGAGCCATCATTTTTAGCCTAATCGTATTTTGCACTAAAACTGATTTTTCATATTTTGATTTGGTGGGAATTTAATTTTTTAATATTTTTATTTGAATCCAAATTGGGGGGTACTTCTTTATTACATTATAAACTTAAGTAAATGGAGTAATATAAAAATAAATAAAAGTAAAAAGACAAAGACATTTGTATGCCTTGCTCAACAAACTAATATGGAATCATAATATCATTATCAAAGTTTGAACTTCCCTTAAGAATCCATTACTACTCAGCAGTGGGGTTCTTACATCTCTCTCTCTCTCTCTCTCTCTCTCTCTCCCCAACACAACTTGGTGGAGCACATCACATAAAATCACATTACTCAGTAAATCCTTGTTGAAAGATTTGTGGCTTTCTTAGAAATCCATAAAACAGATCTTGTATTTGCTGTTGAAAAAATCTCTTGTGCACTAATTCAATAATTGATCAACCCAAACATTTGGCAAACAATGCAATGTCTTCCACTACCATAAAAACTCATAGGCTTTTGTGTTCCATTGGCTTTTGTGCATAGAATCTAGGGCAAGAAAATTATAATATATTAGAGTGGTCAAGAACAGGGAGTTAGAACTTTTAAACCAGTTAGGAGTTCTGCACAAAGAAAGTACAATTAGAGATCATATGTGGGAATCTCCCAATGGACCAAAAAAAGAAAAGAATATTCTGAAAACTCAGTTGTCCCTTAATATCATTTGACCAAGTGTACCATAAAATAAATAGATTTTTTAATTATTAAAATAAAATAAAAATAAAATAAAAGAAGAAGAAGAAGAAGAAAACAGCAAACAAAGAGATGGTTTTGTGACAAATGTCATTATGCTAGAAAAAGCATGAACCTTTTGACATTAACATATACATGGGATTCTCAGTTGGATTGGAAGACAAGATAAAATATCTCAATCATTTTATCTCATGACATCATAGACTTTTCACCCTCTTCATTGTCCGTACAGGTGCTCTGTTTGGCTTTGGTTGGAATTTTAATAGGTGGGTATATAGATAGGGATAGATAGATAAAAAGTGGTGGCATTTCAAGGCCTTAAGATAATGGGGGGCATAGATTATCCCAAGTGTTGATTTGTGGTTGTGGGAGATAGTGGGAGATAAAAGACTTCTGTTGTGCTTGGAAGATAAGAGTATCACATCACATCCAAGCAAAAGAGAAGATTGACTACCATTCAGCCAATGCAACATAGCCACCATATATTTGAAGTATAGTCTAGACTAGTAATATCATTGTTCATGCCACTTTTTGCTTTTAAAATAGACAGAAAAAAAGCAGCATAAGTTGCTCTTTACAATGTAGCAGGAGCACCCAGCCAAATAATACAATATGTGCCCTAAACTCTTCTAGTTTCTAAGAGTTATATATGAAATGAATCCCTCATTATACTGTACTTCAGATTCTGACTTCATGTATAGAGATGTATGTTTTTATTAATGTCAAGAACAATGTTACAGTTCAGATTCTGACTCATGTATAGAGATGTATGTTTTATTTAATTGTCAAGAACAATGTTCACTCCAGGGTTTATAGCTTGAATCGTTAACATCATTTATAATTGCATAATAGGTCTCGTGTTCAATTTCTCATAGTCTAGTGAAAAATGGTCTTGACTTGCAGACTAGTGATATCAAATTCCAACCTTCATGTCATTTTAGTAATGTGTGTGAGAGAGAGAAACGACCTTTCCTTTTCTAATTTAGACTATCACTTGTATTAAATACAAAAAGAACAGATGTTCGTTACTGAGGAAAACAAGTAAATACAAAGATGGGGGATAAGACCGGACACCCCAATGGACCCAGAACACAAGACAACCCAATATAAAAGGGGAGGCCCAAAACAAAGTGGTGTCTTATCTCTTATATTGGTCTCATTATCTCTGTTCTTATCAAGCGCCAAGCACATTAGAAGACCAACCACTCATTGCTAAGGAAGGATGCAAAGAAAATTGCCAATAGAAGTACCATTTTCAACCAATTTGCCTCCACAAGTTTACATGTCGGCAATTTCTGAAACGTTGAAACAGTTAAGTAAAGCAGAAGAATAGCCAGCCATCAGATCAGAGCACTCATTTCTCACATCACATGTATTACATACGATACACTAGTAGAGAACACTCATTCAACAACTGAAAGATCATTAAAAACATGACAAGTTCATGATCCAAGCAATTCATATATCATGTCCCTTACACGTTGCACTATCCAAGCGAGCATGTTGTTCAAAGAATACAGAATCTTGGACATTTAATCCTAATCATGTCCAACATCTTACTTCTGAAACAAAATAAGGTATCGAGTTTATACAGGTCATCAAGGCAAAGGAATTTGTTGTTACCTTGTTACTATGGGTGAGAGAAATGATGGAATGGAATGGAATGGAATTGAATGAATTACAAAGAAGAATAAACAATGTGGATTATGGTAAAAGAAAAAAAAGGGAATACCTCCTCCCGATGAACCAAACATAACCTAAGTGACTTGTCAGATGAAGGTACCAAGGAACAAGAGAAAGAGACTGAGAGAGAGTTTCCACTATTTACGGTTATCACGTTCATTCACTTAGCTTGCAACTGCGAATATAGGGATGATCATACTTAATGTACTTGGTCCAAAATCCTCGATACTTTGTCATCGCCAACTCCAGCCATGGTTTCATGTTGCCATTATAGTGTACAACAGCTGCGTTATCAATCTCAGATCGATCAAGACTTGGATTGTAACCTAAACCAAGTACATGCCATGACTTTTGTAGTGGATGTGTGAGCCCATAAAACGTAATTAGCCCCGGAGGTAATGTTCCAAGTTTCCAAAGTGTCCTGTCTTCATTCTAAAACCAAAAAAAGGAAAAGAATTATATCAGATGATCAATTTTCATAGGGGTAAATAAATAAATACAATATTTATTTAAACAAAAAAGCAATTGCCAAGAGTGATGGTCTTGTGGCTGATTTCACCCCCAAGTGCAAGATTCCAGACTCTCACCATGTTCTGCCACTTGTGATAGATACCAGTAATATCTTTCTTTTTCCACTCCTTAAGATCAAACATGTTCATTCCATAAGCCCATCCACATGCGTTTGGATCAAAGTTTCTTGCAATATGAGGATTTGAGAGTTTAGGTACTTGTCAAACCGGTGGAAGCTCTCACCACAGGTTTCTACTGCACCATTCACTTTTCCATGTAGATCGACAGCCCACAATCCAGTTAAGTCTTTCTGAACAACAATATCATCATCAAGAAACAGGATCTTATCCAACTTGGGATAAACCTGTGGAAGATAGAACCTCAAATGGTTAAGCATTGAGAGATACTTGGGGTTCCTGTACTTCAGATTAGAAGCGCCAGATGAGAGAGTGGTAGGATGGTCAGCCTTGAAGTAATAGTTTTTCATTGCAGCAGACTCGAGCTGCCGCAGAACTGGGCAGTAGGATGAGTTTAACCACTTAAACTCATCAACATTTTCAACATGAATGGTGGCTTTTCCAGGAGGATTCAATAGGAACCACATATTCATGGCTCCAAAGTTAAGCTTATCAGTAACAAGATGGAATACGTGTTTTGATGGATCCTGCAATCACCCAAGAAGCATAAATAAGTCAAATGAGAAAGCAAGAAACCTGCTTCTGAGTTCAGTAATAAACATTATCAAGTACTACAGATGACGAACATGTCGAAAAAGGCTAGCCTACCACAAGCTTATGAGCCTCAGCATAATAATAAAAGTCCAGTCAACTTTTCAAATTTCCTATGGGTAAGATACACTAAAGAGGCAGCCCATTTAGAAAATATAAGCACAACTCATGATCAAACATCTTTTAATCATCTCATTAGACTTCCACACCTAGCATATTTAAAGATAGGTTATTGGGATAGATAATTAGCATGTGTCTCTTCAGAACAATGGGATGAATTCTATAATTTTCAGGCCTCATATAACAGAAATAGAACTCCCATAGAAGTTGAGATGCCTTGGATTCTGACCTTCCTCAAAAGTATCATAGTGATAGCAAACAGCAAGCATAGTTAAGAAGAATGGTTTCCAATTCTTTTGGAAACAGACACAAAGACACGCAGAATTAAAACACCAGTATAGAATAAGACAGTTCAGCTCACCTTGGCATTTGTGACAGTAGAGTTGACGACAACCGATGCAGCCAAGACGTTGTCTGAGAAGAGAGCATAATGATAAAGATTAGGATTTTCCAGGTTCTCACTTCTGGGGAATTTTCTCTTCTCAGGAGAAAGGAGGTAATAATCTATGGTTAGGCGCATAGACAAGCAGTGGATTCCATTTGGAATAGTCTTGGCAGCTAACTGACTAAGAAATGTGCTCTGCTTTTTCAAGCTCCGTACTTGTTCATCTGCAGTCTGAAGCATTGCTCTCAGCTTCCCAGTGACCAGGTTGCAATCATACAGTTGCTCTCTCGCTTTTGAAAGAACTTGGCCCATAGCTTTTATTTTCTCGGGTGCACTACAAGCGAGTCAGGTGTTGATTTAGTAAGAAGTGTCATAATTATTAGTACAGATAAAAGGAAGAGATGCAGATTTATATTACACACTCAAGAAAATAACATGCCCACAATCATGCTACCTTTGAGATAAATCTGCATCAGCAGTTACATCTCCCACTGAACGCTGAGATTCTTTGAGTCGAGTCTGTAATTGTTGGAACAGATCAAGCTTGTTCTTCATCTTTGCAATACTTAAGTAGACCCTTGCCATTATGATTTGGTCCCGGATCAAGCGCACTGTTGAATCAGAGTTCTCATTCTCATTTTCTTTCCTCCAAATGCTGTATTTTCCCAGAACTGAAGAGTCAACTGATTTGGAGCGCTCAATGGCTGCATTTTCAAGCTTTACAATGATTCATCATCTCGTTGTACCAACTCATTTGCACGCTTTTCGCGTCTCTTCTCTCTTAATTGCTGCAGAAGTGCTTATAAAAGCACATATTAGAACCTTTAGAAAAAATAATAAACAGGAGCATACCCAAGTAAACATAACCTTGGTTTAATTAGAGTTTATTTCATTTCCATTCTGAGTTTGCAAACATGGATTAGACAATTTCAAGCAAGCAAGAACCATATAACAAGCTTTGACAAAAAAAGAAACATATAACAAGCAAAACATAGAGCACACTGGAGTATGATAATTACCCGTCGGGCTAGTTTTGCAGGATCAACAAGTTGAGCATGATCACCTGCAAATCATAATAAAATAAAAAAGAAAGCAGAAATGTTTTACGGACAACAGAAAGTAATGTTGTAAAGATATTACCACCTGAAGATACATCCACTTTAACCTTAGGTGTCTCTTGTCTAGCATCTACAGCTGTAAAATTTATCTATATACAGACAATCCAAAACGCAAACAATCAGCAGCAAGCAACAAACGGATGAAATTTTTGCAGAAGTAGCACACAAGATTTATCAGGGATGGTTAAAAAATAAAGAAGAAACATGACAGACGTACTAACCTTATCTGTAATTGAAGTCTTTTCCCCAATGACTTTCCATGAAGCTGACAAATTGTTTTTTCTGAAGATATCAAGGCTCAAAGGCCCCATGTCATTTGTGTTGGCTGCAATTACATCAATGACCTAAATGTTGATCCAATCAGTGTACTGGTTAGAAAGAAAACTCAACAAAATATAAAATTGCCAGCACTTATATGAATGACATGTAGATAACTCATTGATTCAATCAAGTTGAACTTGCCTCTTTTGAGAAAAGAGACACATGTTGCAGCGCCAGCCTTTCTCTCCAATCCACATTCTGCACCAGTCAATTAATTGTTTCTTGTTCACAATTTTTTTATTGGTTCTGCTAGAAGTAGTTATACACATAAGATTTGAGACAGAAACTTATGGAAGCATGAAGCAATACCTTTGCACCAGGACTGGATAAAATGTCATTTTGATCTGCACAAATAGCAACAATCAATTAAAGTAAAACTGATAAAAGACGAGTCAACTATGCTAAACCATCCATCGGGGAAGAAAAAAAACATTATTCTGTTTGGGTTTGATGTTACAAAATTTTTCAAGATTCCAACAGGAGTTGGCCCAGGCGTACATGTAAACAAGATATAAACAGACATTTTTTCAATAGGATTCTTCACGGATTATAAGGTTGACCAATAATTGGCCAAGCATAAAACAATTGTGCAAAAACTGGTAAACAACGTCATATATTGCTGCTTAGCTATGTTTTGCAGTCTTTGTTGAATTATTTAGCAAGCATCCTCTAGCTAGACCAGTGGACAATTAGTGCTTTGTATTGTTCAGTTCTTTCTTAGTGAAATTATGTTTCTTATCAAAGAAACTTCATATCAAAAGATTGAAGAATTAAATTTAGAACATTAATACATCTGAGCCAAAGACAAAGGAGCAAACTCAAAACATGGGCACAACATGTGTTGTGAGTATTGTGACAGAAAGGGGCATAAATCTCTGTTTTTAGACACTCGAATAGCTTTATAAGATTCACAAGTAACTTTCCCGATTTGCATCCTCTCTGACTTCTTGTGAGTCATGATCAAGAGGGTAGGAAGTGCACTCCTGCGACCAACCTATGCAATGAACAATACCTCCAAAAGACAGAGAATCCATGACACTTCTTCCATTTTATCACTTCAACAAAACTAACTGAACTTATTCATCAAGACGTAGTCTTGGAAAGAAAAAAAAAAGTACTGCATAAAGTGAACCATACGAGCCAAAAGAATTTTTGTTGTATTTTCTTGTCTACATTCTAATAAAAATAAATATTCTTGTACAATAGGCTGTATGTTCACTTTTTTCCTTTCTATACATGTAACATTAGCAAGAAGTAACTCTCAAAGTGCTATAATTTTTGCCCCAATATCTAAGAATAAACCAGTCTAACACAAAATGGAGTTGGGAACAGGTTTTTCCCAGTAACTTAGCATCAGAATATTGAGCACTCTTTAACCACATATACAAGTATGTGACCCAACTACAACAACCTCTTGTAAAGGTAAAGGTAAAGCATATTAGTCCACAGAATCAAAGTAAAACAGGAGAGATGCGGGACAGTGAGTTATGTGAAGAAATTAAATATATGAATTTAACGCATAAACTCATATTGTACAAGCCTAGTGAGTTATGTGGTTCAGAATATGTATATGTCCAAAAGGAGACTGAAAATAGAAGTTACCACCTACTGAACTGAAAACAGTCTTCACCCCTCAGTTCTCATCTTCTTTATCACATAATATACCCATAAATACAATTTGATTCTATATGTCAACATCAAGAAGAACAAACAACTACTTTAAACCTGGAAATGCTTTGAATAATAGGCTAGATTGGTCCACAACTACTGCTTCATTTTATAAATACTAATCTACTCCAGTCGTATTTCCTAGCCAGCTCTCAAAAAAAACACAAACCAGGAAATGCCCAAGTGGTGCGCAGTTAAGCTCAAATATAATCTACCTACAAGATGTGAATGACTGACTACATAACCCACATACACCACAGCTGTTGGATAAAAAAAGGTAAATCCTCATCAAAAGGATAAGCACGCTGAAAAAGTTAAATTTATCATCAAAATCCACTTATAATTTGCCCACTGATGTACCAAGACAAAAATAATTTCTCCATTTTAATCACGTAAGGAACAATCAGAGTCATTTGATTCAGAAACAAAGACAATTGCAAAGTCTGAAACAAATGTAGAGCATTCTTCAGGCCTCCAAATACACTAGCATCATATTGCTAACACTTGAAAAACTAACATTCATGGTTATCAAAGCAGTAATTGTATCAATAAGGCATTGACTTTAACCGTTTTCTGATATTCTGAAGCAAAGAAAACAGCAATTGCAATAAATAAAAAAAAAGGTAATTCTCCTTAATGCGAAGCAGAAAAGGAACCTAATTGAGATCTAGTGCAAACCTAAATTTAAATTTCACACAAACGGATACGTACATATAGACATATATACACATTTCTCAACATAAATAAAAAAAATTAAAAAAAGAAATTAAAAGAATTGAGCACAGACCAGATATGTGGAGGCCACGGCCGACGAAGAAAATCAACGGAACGAGAAGTGAAAAGAAAATAAGAATCGCAACAGGGAATCGAGATCCGGAGGCTCGGTTTCTCTGGACGCCCGCACTCGACAGCCCGCGCTTCAACGCCATTGCCAATCAATACCTAGAGTTAAAAATCAAGACAAAAAAAGAAGTCAGAGAATCAGCCAGAGAGAGAGAGAGAGAGAGAGAGAGAGAAGAAATTACAGAAGGATCTTGAGGAATTTGAAGTGAACAGTGTGGCTAAGAAAGCCTAATGCGAGCCAGAGACTCAGAATCCATGGAAGGGAAAAAGTGAAGAAGAAGAGAGTGAGGTCTTTGAGGAGTGTGATTTCAAGCAAAATTCCACGGCGATTTTGTTTTGTGTTTTATATAATTTTGGTTTGGGAGTGTTTTGCTTTCCTTCTCGCGTCTCTTTCTTTTCTGTGGCCCAATTACACAACAAACCAACACAGAATTTAATTAATAAAATAATTCGTAGTGTTTTTTCTATGATAACGGATTTAACTACGTCGGCAACCCAAAAAGAAAAACTACGTCGGCTATCGCTTTCACTATAGCTGTCATTGTGGCAACAACAAAACAATAACACACCAAAAATCAAAGACCCTGTTATTGTGGCGCTTTTATTCAACACATTTTAGAAGCCCCCAAAGAAAAATCAAGGAATAAATCACTGTTTTATTTATTTATTTATTTAAAACATTTCCTTTTGACAGGAATGATAGTATACTAAACTCACACACACTACACGGATGCTAGGACTCGAACCAAAGACCTTTTATATATTAATAAATACTTCAAACCATTATACTAGTGAATCCTTTGCAAAAATCACTATTTAAAGCTTACATTATGCACGCACCATGTTAAATTGGTATTGAGTACCACATCACGATTTACTCAACTTCTCAGAACCATCTATATTTTCACAATATAGTTCAACAATCATAACCGTCTATATTTGATGTTTTTCTTCCAGGGTCATTCATGTAAAAAAAAATCATATAATTGGAAAATGTTTGATCATCTAAAATATGCAAAGAAATATTATTCTTACGATAAAACTGAAACAAAATGTGTGAATAATTAAATAGCTAACCTAATCTTATGTTTGTGTTCAAAATTATATTTGTTAGTGGGTATAGGTAAATTAGTTGAGCTCTTCCATCTCTATTTATATGGAAAGAGGTTTGAAACCCAGGCACCCGATGATGTGGTTTTTGCTCCAAAATATAACATTTTAGCGTTTTTTTATATATTTCACCAAAATATGGAAATAATCAATTACATTAACAATTTCAACTCTTTCTATTTTACTCCCAAACCCTCGCGTTATTTCATTCTTATTTTGGATGCACCCATACCAGTGTTCTTTCCAAACACTACCTTACTCTTAATTTCCATCCTATATATTATACTGAAATTTCAGATGTAGTGCTAACACAAATAAGGTGGAATGTTTCTATGGTCATCTCATATCCCTTTACATCAAGCAAAAAGTTCTTACATAAAATTACCTAAGCGGATAAATATCCGAAAAAGCAATAAAAATATAAACAAATTCAAGCTACCATGGCATCTTCATGGCCTGAGCTTGATGATAGAGCCATGGTCCTATGGTAGAACGATTGCCTCCACTTCTCTACATAATCGACACATCCAAGTAATCTCCAATCTGCATATCAGAGGCATAAGTCAGAAACGGGGGATGTCAGTCAGATATATAATATACGGCATGAAAAATAACATCTTTACCGCAAAGCCAAGTTCAGCCAAAACTTTGGCATCGTCTAATCTTCCATTTCCATAAGAAAGCGTCCTCCCCACCTTCATGATGCAACACTCAGAAGTCAGAATCTAGTCACATATCTAATTTGCTTATCAACCCACAAGAAATATGTGCAGTTACGTTAACTGTAAATATTAGTTGTGGTGACTAACTTTTAATTCAAGCTGTCAACCCACACATGGCACAACCTGCTGTCAGGTTTGAATTCAGATTGGCACATCATAAAGAAACTTTTCTCTTTTTATGATAGGCATATCACTAATAGCACCTAAATTTAAATCACAATACAATCAACTTTTACACTGAAAACATCAAACTTACTAAACTAATCAATAAATTCAACTAAAATACCAACATGCTTGATGTTAAGGAAAGATCTTCTACAAGAAGGTTGGCTAGAGATTTCTTGAATTTCATCTGCACAGCTTTTTTTTCCTTTCCCTTTTTATTCTTGCGCTATTGATAAAGGAATTTGTAGAAATTGAAGATATATTAGATAATAATAATAATAAATAAAAATATTGGCAAACAAGCCACACAAAGATCAAACAGAAATTACAAAACCAATGCAGTATTTGCAGAATTCTGAAGAGTCGGGATATTAAACATAACCCTTGCATGCACAAACATGGGAAGTTGAGAGATGAAAATAATTTAGCATTAACTATATGTGGTTTCAAGATATGTATGCTGAGAGAGAGAGAGAGTAACCTCTTTGACCACAAAATGACCATGCCTATCTGGATATACAATAGCAAAGGACAGTTTTGCATTTCTCCTTCTAGCTGCAGGAGCAACCTCTTTGACCTGAAATACACAACCAATTACAAGACCCAAATGGTGAAAATAAAGAATAGTTTCTATGAATAACTATCTTCATACATACATATGGCTATGCTATGAAAAGAAACATGAATATTATACATGTGTACAAATGCAGATATGTAAGTATGTGCATCCACACAATGACATATATGATATACACCACACATGGAAGAGAGAGAGAGTTTCAACCAGATCAGTTAACTCGCGAAGATTAGCATCTTTCCATGTATAAATTTGAACTTCATCCTTAGGCTCCTTTCCCCTCACTGCAAAATCTTCATTGGTATGATGACTTCCAACCTACAAAAAAAAGCCAAGAAGTAAAATCATAACAATGAGAACAACTTCCACATATGACTTTTTGTCCAGAAAACTAAGAACTATTAGATCTTCAATAAGCAGAGACAGCCCACCATATGTACTATGGTCAGTCAGCTTACATGTTTTCTCTAAAGTTTAAAACAACAATAAACCAGTTTCGACGTGTTGTTTCTTTCAGGTCATACAAATTTCTTGACATCTATGTCCCACCTAAGTTTCAAAATGACACTGCCTTGGTAGCGGCAATTGAGAACTGGAAAAATTATGATATACATACAGGAAGAAAGTACAAACAAGAGAACAGTGCAAGAATCAGGATAAACACAAACAACATAGAATATCCACAATCAATTGTAAAAGACAAAGACCAAGCTTTATTGAGAGAACTTAGTGAAACTCTATAAAACCATTCAATGAAAGTGTACACATGAGACACAACATTGGCAAAAAATTTCCTTTTTTGCTGCTGCACAGAAAACCGAGGGAAGTATACCACATAATAACCTAATGCCCAACATTGCCCATATAGATGGACAGAGAGAAACTTCCCTTCTGAGTCCCAGCAAGGCTTCTCCAAAAAGTTGAAAACCCATCATATAACAATAATTTTCCCCTTCTAAAAGTATTCTCTAAATAGAATTGATCATGCTACAAAATTATTGAAAGCAAGTGCCCTGTATAATGGTTTTGTTTTTCGTACTTGTTTTAAAGCCCATATATTTTTCTCACTTCTGAAACCATAATTCTCATGTATCATGAAGAAGGGTTTCTTGAAAAAATTTAAAACTGAAACTTATGAGCAACATAAATCGAATGACAGCCCAACCACACAAACCCAGTTCATATATGAGCATGGGTAACATACCTTAGTGAAAACTCGAAGCAACAGGGGACAAGTCTGCAATCCAATGAGAACCCAAAAAAGAAAACCCATCAATGTAACAAAAAAATACATTTTTATAAAAGAAAAGTTAAAAAAACAAAAAGGGAACCTTTTCGCGATCGACTGGGGCAAAGCGAGGGCGAGGAGGAGAGCGAGGACCTCTTCCCTGTGGGGCTAGTGCTCTCTTCGGAGCTTGGGCTACTCCAGCCATCTCTACCAACTCTCTCGATTCTTCTTTCTCCAACCTCCTTCTGCTTCTGTTATTCCTTCTGAGCTTTTGTCTTGTTTGTTTTAAACTTGGTTTCTCTGTTTCTAGGCTGAGAATGGTTATGGTCTGTGAGTCTGGGCTGTAAAAAATATTCTAAGCCTTCCAATAACAATGAGTTGGGTATACTTGGGCCAGGAGAGCCTAATTGAGAAGGATCCATTGTGGGCCAAATCCCAATTTAGCTTTGAATTTCCTGGTTTTTTAAAAAATTTAAAAAAATTTAAAAAGTTTGATACTCTTGATTTTTTTATATTCATTTTTATCTTTATGGTTTGAGAAAAGAAGTAGTCCTATATATTTGATTCCACTTAACATTACTTTTTTTTATATCAACGAGGTCTAGCATAGTGAAAAAGGGCCTTAACTTGCATACTATGATTTCAAGTTCGAATCCCCATGACACCTTAGCAGTGTCTGTGTGAGAAAACCCTACTCTCCTCTAACTTTGGCAACAACAAAAAACATTACATTTTTTGTTCTACTAAAAATTTGGTTTCTTGGGTGAACAATGATAGTGTGTGCGCTTTGAGCGGTGGTGTTTATACTTAGAGAGATACAATATTAGTCTGACGACTCAAACTACCACATTAAGAAAATAATGTACTAGTTAGACAATGTGAAAGTGCAACATTGCACCTGAGAAAAACCCAATGAAAAGAATGAAAGTCACTAAGAGAGGTATAATGCCTCTTAGTTCTTACACCCAACCAGACAATTGAGCCTGGGCAATTGAAAACAAATGTCAAATATGAGTTTTAGTGCAATTCATTTTAAGGGTTTCTTATTTGTGACTAATTGATATCAAGACAATGACACATTGTTCTTTCTCTTGTTGTATTGTTTCTTCTCACCTTTCTCCAAGTCCAAAACTCCACCCAACTTTACAGGACAACCCAGCCATCAAGTTTCAAAACCATATATGCATGTATGTACCCATCATCAGGGCCATCACCACATGAGCTGCAATGCCATAACTAAAGCTTTCTTTAAATTCCAACCTACTAGGCTGGCAAAGATGGTGCTACAAGTGAAATTAATTTTGGGAAAAAGAGACAAAATGTAATTCCAAGAAAGTCCCAATTTCACCTATGTACTCTTTGATCCCTATGGGATTACAAGGAAACAAAGACAGCACACTTGGTGATAGGGGCTTGAAAGCTCAGTTGGTGGTTTGTAGAGCAGAAATGGGAAATGTGCATTGAAGAGCACAGCCCACAGCTATCAAAGCTTTCCTAAAATGGCAAGCCCTAACCACACCCCTACCAGTACTTTCTTGGAATATTAGACCAAATGATGGGGTCCTGTTTAAAATGTTGGGCCCCACTTTGGCATATTTATGTGCCACTTTACCAAATGCTATGTGACTATTTTTATTTTATTTTGTTTTTCTTTTCAACCCTTTTCCTATTTGCACACTCTTTGTGGTAACTTTGTGGTAAAAATAGGTGATGTTTGTTTGAGAGGTTTCTATGGCAATGGAACAGGAATAGTATTGTTTTGCTATCTTCAGTCAATCATAGTCTGTTATGTGGAAAAATTATTACGCGTGACATATCATAATTGGTCGGGAATAGCAAAATACTGCTATCCTCAGTTCATGCGAGTGTTTCTCTTTCTATAGGGATATGAAAAAGAGCAGTATTTACACATCTTTCGTACCAATTGTGTTGAATTATTGGCTTTACTTTGTCCAATCTTGTGACACCCCATAAAGAAAATTTGTCAAAAGGGAAGAACTTTTGATTGTGTGGCAATTGCCTCCAGATGAAATCTTCCTTTTCTTTCTTATTTGGTAAAGTTGGAGCAAACGTACGTATATATGTATCTTAAAATTGTTAATCTTAGTTAACACATAAATGGTTACATTGAGTTTTCATTATTGCCAAGAAAAATGGTGGTGATGACTTGGAAACAAACTTGGCCAAGCATTATTGCTGACTTCTGAATATGAGAGAGATCCATTGATGTTAAAGATTACAATGTTATGAGTTATATTCATGATTTCATGTCATCTATATCCATTGTATTTCATCTTTAATGTCCATTTTTGTTTTGGTGAATCATGTGCCACATATATTTTGAGTGGAACTCATGACTTAGATAAATTAGCTTTGACTCGTCAAGTGGTTAACCTTTAAATTATTGACCACCAAAATGTTGATATCTACAAAAACATAATATAAGGGTTGTTCAAGCGTGATCAAACATCTGAAATCTTCTCATATTAGGGGAGAGGGGACCCAGTCCGACGGCGATTTTTGCCATCCCTACACCCAAATCACATGTGAATAGCATTTTTCACACATAAATATTCAAATGGTACATGATGTTGAAGGTTCTTTTATTGTTTGTCACCTTAGTCCAAAATAATGGTACCTACACTACATTAATGGGTGTTGCGTTTCTTGACCAAAACAATGGCTCAATACTAAAACAGTCTTCCAGTACTCGATGCAGAGCATATGACTAAGTTCTCCTAACCAGTCTGGTTTCACTTCTTTCATTTAGCGTACTGAATCTAGCCACTGGAATTATTACCTTCTGTCCACTGTGATTTTGGAAAGAAAAATTGCTAGCTTTATACCCTTCTCAACAATACAGCCCATTATCCACGAAATATACTCTTTTACTTTCCCGGATATGACCAAACACATTGGAATTAATTCTTCAAAATTGAAAATTATGTTATTGCTAAACTGAAATTATTGTTTTCATAATGGTAATATTACATATAGTTGTGGTAAGTTTGTAATCGACCTGGATAATCAACTCTAAAGTTTAAATTCCATAAATCATTACTTGTTTGCGTAAGGGAAGAATGCTAATTAAGGTTAGTTGCTCGAACACGCATGGACGAATCAAGATCATTAATGCATTAAGAGCATCACGTGCATCAACGATTAGCAATTCATTGAGCGCCTACCCGTAAAACAGCTCTCTATAACACGTTTGATTAGTGATAAAAAATAATAATAATAATAAAGAAACAAAGGAAATCAATCTCTCACACTTGAGTCAGAGAAATATATAGATGAGAGAGTCCAGTGTGGAAAAGGTAGTCTTGCCTGCAACAGAATCTACAATGAAAGTAAATCCAATTTATGATTTATCAATTGGGTAAATGGGTCAGTAAAAAAATAAATGGTCGAAAAATGAACCCAAAATTTTTGTGCCCAAATTCAACTGGAGATGACAGTGAACAGCGAGCATGCTGGAAAGTGGAGACTGAAAAGAAAGGCCATCATAATCAGGCCGTACCTTCCATTATGGCCTTTAGCAATTTCATTTCTTTTACCCTTTCTCCCTCCATTTAACCACAAATAAATGTATCTAATAACTTCTACTTCTTTGTTTTTTTTGGTGAAAGCTAATAACTTCTACTTCAGGATTCACTTAATCGAAAATACTACCATACCATACATTCAAATATGATTTTTAATTTTAATTTTTTTAATATACAAGCGATATTGAAAGAAAGTGGAATCGAGAATAATGCTCTTAACTACTTGAACTACAAACAACTTGCAAATATGTTATATTTTAAATGGTTAATTCGTACAACTTTTAATTCAGAATTCACTTTAACTGAAAATTATACCGTACGACCAAATAAGTAGGACATATCACCGTTGATTTAACTGTTCAGAAAGTGCATAACCCTACTCATTGTTCTTACTTTCCGAACACAAAGTAACTTACTTGAAAGTAAGGTACCAATTAGTTATCTCTAATTGTACAAAACAAAGCATGATCAATGAATAACTACAAGTATTCTATTGCTAAATACACAATTGACATCGAACAAATCCTAATCTGACACGTATATATACGGAATCATGTATTAACAAACAAGTACAAATACTGTTTGGTTTGGTGGAAAGTTCCCTATCAAATTAATCATGAGTTTCTTTTTGTCTTCCCCTTTCAACCATATACGCTTCTTAATTTGTCTTTATATATAAAGTTTCTAATTATGCTTGATTTTATGTTTCTCATCATGAAGAATCCTTTTTGAGTTCCTGGGTAATCCCTAATTTTGCCACTCATCTCAGACTTGCATCCAATAATTTCCCATTGAGACAAGTGCATGTGTACTAGAAATAAAAGGCATAATATTTCATTATTCTGTTCAAATACATCAAATTCAAACTTCACATGCTAAATGAAAAGGACCTTTTAACCCTACTACAAATATAGAATCAAATTTTGCAGGTCTCAATAATTTAAATACTCAACTATAACCATTTCTATTATTGCTCCTCTAAGACCATTGGCATTAGTGGACTGTGATGCTGACAGCTCAGCAACCCAAGAATTCCATGAATGGTATTTCACAAAGAAGAGAGAAAGGCAACCAATTTTTTTAGATTTAAGGCTGCATGTAGAAATTCAAGTCCCCATCATATAGAAATGGCCAATCATACACATTCATGGAATTTACCCAATAAATGTAGGGCAGTTTTTTAAATTTGCCCAACAAAATTTATTTCCCTTAAAAATATTCAAGTCACCTTCACGATAGATGTAACCTCTTTTTATTTCAAAGGATAAATTATCATGGATCTGAGTCTCTAGTGTCTGTGTAGTCTGTGGGTTTGATATAGTTTTGCATCTCTCAGTAGAAAAAGTCCTAAAAAAAAAAAATCTTATTTATATTATTAAAATGAGTTTTTAAGCTTTTGTAAAAAAATTTATATAATTTTCATTAAATTTTATTTGATTATTTATTTATTTATTTATATACAAACAATATTGAAGGAGGGAGAACTTCGGAGTAATAACTAATGTTAACAACGAGGACCAAAATAGATCCAGTGACAAAAAAAAATATTTCACAAAAAAAATATCATTTTGGTTATGTTTATTCTTATTGAGGTTTTCTTGAGCCAATATCTTCTTATTATATCTGTCTCTAATTTTCATCCGACAATTTATTTTTGGGTCGCATCATCCAACAAACCTCAAGCCTAATAAGTAATTACCTCAGATTATTCGACGTTAAATGGCTAATTTCTTCATCTGGGTATAGAACATTTCTCCTTAATTATGCCCATCATTCTAATTATAGACCTCAAGTCAAGTGCCAGAGCTTGGCTTTATAGCAGGCTTTTGAGCTTTAAACCATCCAGCAAACCTAACACATCTGCGCATATGTTTCAGAATTAATACACAAACTTCGAGTAATTTGATAATATAATATTTTAATTAATCGTAGCCTTTTTGAATAATACAGTAATATCTAAATTACTCTAATGTACAAGAAGAGAAATTGAACTTTAGTGCAAGGAGACGTGCACACTACCTTGATCAATTGGTCTAACTGACACATGCATTAGTTGATCATAGTCTAATGAGTACTTTTCATATTCAACTTAAAGATGTTTAGGCTTAATATACACAATGATTGAGTATTTTCAATCATTAAACTTAAATCATTCACACACACATCATAGATGAAAAGAAAAAAAATAGCTCTCTCGAACTCCTATGAAAATTCACTATTCCGCTGTTCAAGAAATAACTATATATATTTCGTCCTCCAACTTACAAAATGCACATCTTGGGCCTAATTGTATGAGTAATGTGGTCTGGCATGAGACAACCTGCAAATTCCGTACGAGTTTGTAGATTTATTCTAAGACCTTATACTCAATGATGAGAGAGTGAGAACACAAAATTGAAAATAAATAAATAAAATTGTCTTCTTTTACACTAATTAGGGTTAGGCCTTGGGGAATCTAACCCCAAAATGAAATTTTCTTGTTCCGGTAGTTTTCATGTAACATTGTTGGCCCAAGTGATGTGAATGTGATAATCCATGGCTAGCTAGCGAAACTGCTGAGCTCTCTCCTCCACATGGAAACGAATGAAGTAGGGGCGCGTGGGTTTGATTATTATTCATTTGTTGCCCTAACACTTAAGGCAAGCTTAGTGAGGTCACCAAAGCTTATAATTTGCTTAAAATTACAAAGAAAAGAAAAGGAGAATAAGCAAAGAAGAATTACTGGGTTTCAATTTTGTTGTAATATTATTATAAGATCACACAGAATTGGTACATGTGCCTCCTCTCTCTCTCTCTCTCTCCTCTCTCTCTCTCTCTCTGCTAAAGCATACATCCCATTTCTATATAAGCAAAGGTCCCTCTGAACTCCCACTTCTCCCACACAGACACCTCCATTTTTGTGTAAGCTCCAACAATCCCATCTCTTACAGAGGACATAAAAGAAGAGGAATATATATAAGAATAACAAATAGACCCACATAAATACAATATCTCAGATAATCTCTTAATTGTTAAAAGAAGAAGAATTGAAGAGGTTAATATTGAGGTAAAATGGGGAGGGGGAAAGTGGAGCTGAAGAGAATAGAGAACAAGATCAACAGGCAGGTGACTTTCTCAAAGAGAAGAAATGGTTTGCTTAAGAAAGCCTATGAACTCTCTGTGCTTTGTGATGCTGAGGTTGCCCTTATCATCTTCTCTAGTCGTGGCAAGCTCCATGAGTTTGGAAGTGCTGGGTAAGATTGCTCTCTCTCTGTCTCTCTCTCTCTCTCTCTCTCTCTCAAAAGAAAAACTATTTCTTTGCTTATCTTTTTGGTTGTGTGGTAATGGGGTATTTCTTAGATTCCTTGTTCTTTTGTGTACACACTTTTTTATTCAAGGTGCATTATTGGTTTGCATTGTTTCTCTCAAAAAAATTCATTCCTTTATTACACATATCTATATATATATTTTAAATTTCTTTTTGGGTTTTTGGTTTCTGATTTGTTGTTTCAATTGAGTACTGCAAGCATCCTGCTTCTTCTGCTTCTCAAACTCTCAAAGATTTACATTTTGTTTTCCCTTTATTTTGATCTATAGCTTTTAGATTTCTGTGCTGTCTTATGTTATTACATGTCTCTGACATCTCACCCTGCCTAAGCAATATCTTTTCTGGTACTCCTTGTGCTCTATAACGATTTTTGGATCAAGCAAAGAAGGTTTTTCTGCGTCTCTATGTAAGAGAGATAATTACCAGCTTCACCACTCACAGATCGACACGTTTCATCATCTCTCTCTCTCTCTCTCTCTCTTCAGCCCTCTAGCTTGCACTTCTGGGTATATGGATGGTTCCTTCTTTCCTGTTGTTTCATATATATGAGAACAAGTTCTCATCATGTGGTTTAAATACCAACCAGCAGCAAACCTGACTAGGAAACTCCTCTTGTACCTCTGTGCAAGAACTGCCCTTTTTTTCTCTCTCTCTGAAGCACTTTAGCACACACACAGACACACACACTCTCCCTCTCTCTCCCTCTCTCTCAGTATCCAATGACTATCAAAACTTGTCCTCATTTCTTTAAAGCCTATGATCTTTTGGTTTTAGTACAGTCCCTTTCTCTCTCTATAAACACACCCATATCCCCAGATGTATACACTGGCCTCTTTGTTTCATCTTTTGATCCCTAGGTTCATTTGGATTCTCTCTCTCCCTATAAAAACTTCCAATGACGCTGTGGCAAGTCAAGTATTAGAAGCTCCAGAGATGAAATCTTGTTCTTCATATCTTTCGTCCTTCAGATCTATGGTAATTTATTTTTATTTTTATTTTTGTTTTTGTTTTAAAAAACTAGGGTTGCTCATTTTCTTTGGTAAAGTCATGGTTTTGGTCCAGATAAGTATTAAGTTTTGAACCAGAGATTTTTCAGAAAAGGTGTTACCTAAAATTGCCTTTTCCTGGAAAGTGAATCCCAGGTTGATTTAGCAAGAACTGGTAGTCAAGGATTTTGGTTTGACAAACTGGATCTCAGTCCAACTTTCAAATTGTATGTTCCATATTGGTGAATGGTACATTAAATGATTTATCTTCTACTACATATAGCCTGATGATGCATGTTTCCATGTTAATCAATGTATCCCAGTTCCCCCAGTAAATTTTGTTTTGTTTTGCTACTTTGGTGAAATTCCTCTCTCTCTCTCTCTCTCTCTCTCTCTCTCTCTCTCTGAAAGCCTTTCATGTGTCAAGATTTGCCTGCAATCTGAATCACATCTGATGATATCATCAGTCCAGTAGTTTATAGGTATGCCTTGCCTGTTTAGTGTTTCCCTTACTTTTCTGTACAAAATAATGTCATAGACCATATATTGCATAGCAAAAATTCCTTTTTTGGTTTCAAAAGTTTATTTCTTTTGAGTTTTGCGTACCTTCTGAAAATAATGTCTGAAATTGGATTCTAAAATGTTTCACTAAAATGAAAGCCAAAAAAGATTCAAGTATATATATAAAGCTGCAACACTTGTTTAAATTAGTACCGACCATGTTGCCTATATGAATCAAAATACTTGACCATGTATTTTATGGTGATTATCTGAAGATCTTTAGCCGCTCAACAAGGATCTGTGAGTCATGGACTCATTTGTGTATGAGAGAGAGAGAGAGAGAGAGAGAGAGAGAGAGAGAGAGAGAGAGAGAGAGAGAGAGAGATTCATTCCTTGTTTTTAACCATCGTGCTCAAAGAATGGCTAGTCCAACAGTTAATTTGCTGCAAATTTCTTGAAGAGTTCTTTCTTCACCATAATCACTTGTGTAACTTCTACTTCTTTAATATTTCTTTGTTCCAACTTTAAGTTCTTTAATTTGATTCATGGGTAATTATGCAAATAAATTTTCTGCTCTAGTACCACATTAAAGTTGGAGTATTTATTATTTGTCACATTCTTTCCCAATTTATCATATGTCACATTGTTTGATTACCATATCATCATATGTTACCTTACATAATCAGCACAAAACATTTTATTTCTTAGAATATAATAGGCTCAAAACTCAACACTTTTTCCCTTATTCTTTCTCTTGGCAGTATGACCAAAACCCTCGAACGATACCAACATTCCTGCTTCAATCCTGAGGAAAACAGCACTGAACGTGAAGCACAGGTATTTTGACTCCTTGTCAAATTTTCCTTTCAAACCATCATCGATTTCACGTAATTAATTAATTTGATGTATATATGTTTTTCTTAATGATTCTTCATAAAGCGTTCTTAATTCTTGTTTTTGGCTGTTGATCACCAGAGCTGGTATCAGGAAGTCACAAAACTCAAGGCTAAATATGAATCCCTTCTGCGCACTCAAAGGTTATGCTGCAACTGATTAGAAATCAATAATTATACTTATATCCATAATTAAGTAAAAACTGATAGCTAGCATCACTGTATAATATCTATGCTAACCTTGGGTTTATTTTTTTTTGGTGCTATGTTTTTTTTAATCAAGGCAATTGCTCGGGGAAGATCTCGGACCACTGAATGTGAAGGAGTTGCAAAATCTTGAAAAACAACTTGAAGGAGCTCTTGCACAGGCCAGGCAAAGGAAGGTAATTAAGTGTGACAATGTTAAAGTTTAAACTAACTAGTTATGAATTAATAAAATATAATTCGACTTTGAGATATTTTATACATTCGGCCTGTCCTTGGTTGTAGACACAGCTTATGATTGAGCAAATGGAGGACCTGCGCAAAAAGGTATAATTTTATATCATTTATACAAAGTCAACTGTCTTGTACAAGAATTCTTACTTCTAAAAATAAACAGACCAATCTCATGATGAACACATAAAAATTCTACTAGCTAGGCTGGAACAATAGGATATTTCAAACCCGAATTTATTCTCCTTTTCTTTATTTTTCGGGTAAAGTTTCGTGTTCGAAATTGTCATGATTAGCATCTAATCCGACGTCCTCTGTGGTGATCATGGTTTCTAATTGAACATGGCAGGAGCGTCACCTTGGAGATCTTAACAAGCAGCTGAGGGTCAAGGTAATATATATCGACTGATATTTTTCTTGTTAAAACCAGTTGAAACATATATATTTAGTATTTTTCTTCTTGCTTTGATTATTATTTCAGCTGGAGACAGAAGGACAAAATCTTAAAGCCATCCAAAACATGTGGAGCTCGAATGCAGCAGCTGGAAGTAGCAGCTTTTCTTTCCATTCTTCCCAAACCAACCCCATGGACTGCCAACCTCATGAACCTGTCTTGCAAATAGGGTAAACTCTAATTAGTTTAATTCTCTTTCGTTTTTTTCCAGAAAAAAGTGAGTCAACAATTATAATTGAAATGATAGTTGTTGTTGTTGAAACAGTTACCATCAATATCTTCCTGCTGAGGGGCCTTCAATGCCGAAGAGCATGGCTTGTGAGACCAACTTCATCCAGGGATGGGTTCTTTGAAAGTCTAATGAATATGAAAAATAAAGGATAATTTATATATATATTTATGATTGTCCATATGCATGGCTTCATTGTACTGGGATCTGCAACTTCATATGTATCTTCTGATGTACTTGCAAGAATATATGACCCTACGGTTGCCCTACGTATATTGTTTTGTTTTTGGAATTGTAATGCTCTCCACATATATATATATATATTTAATCGCTTTCAGATTGCTATATATTTCGTTTTATTTTTCATCAATTTGTTTATTGAATTGCTTCTTTTGTCCACTGTTATATTAAAATTGTAATTTTGTGGAAATTAGACCCGTTTTACATTCTTTTAACTAAATTCCGAATTATTTTTCCTCTATTCAAACGGAAGGTTAATTCAATTGTATTATTTGAGCCCTTGCTCGTCTAATTGTTGATATTTCTGTTTGTCCCTTAAATTTTTGACCTCTGTTACTCTGTAAGCCCAGTAGAATTCTTGTTAAGGAGAAGGACCAGTCAATATGGCCTTCGACCTTAGGTGGGCTTTTAAGTTTATTATTATTATTATTTTGATCGAGTGGGCTTTGAAGTTCGATAAATCAAATCCAATACATTTCAGAAAATCCTTTTTTTTTCTCTCCTTAAGTTCTAAGGAAATAAAATAAAATATATTTTTTTTTACCCAAAAAAAAAGAGGAAATAAAATAAAACAATTATAAAGGTGGTTCGGGAATATGATAGGGTGTTTTTGAGTAAATGTTGATTTTTCTTTTATTTTTTGAGGGAAATGTTGATCTTTCTATTACTCATGAAACAACAAATTTCATGAGTACTATGTTTTTCAATTACTTAATGTATTAGAGCAGAGCATGCGTCCCCTTATCTTTTTTGTCTACGACAGTCATCACTTAATTTGTTGTAGTACGAGAAGAACTTGCATGTCATCCGAAATAACCCTATTTTGATATCCCATAATATATAAGTTTTTGTTATAAGGAGACATTCTCGGTTGCAATTATATTTTTTGTTTTTGTTTTTGTCTAACTACTTTAAGGGATATGATTTGCACTCCAATTTTAACTTTCCATACATCAAATTAATATAATATAATATTTATATACTCCAATTCTAACGAACCCATGAAAATTTCTATATGGGAGCAAGATTAAGAAACTGAAAAAAAATGGGTAAATTACTCAAATGGTCCTTAAACTTATACTCAATTTACATTTTGGTCCCTCAATTAAATTATTCATTCAAATGGTCCATCAACTCTATATTATTCGCTCCATTGGTCCTACCGTTACATTTTGTCAATATTTTGGTTAAATATGATGGCAAATTGGTCATCATTTACCCTAAAATTAGGTTAAATCTAACAGAAAATTAGACGGTAGGATCACTGGAGCGAATAATATAGAGTTGATGGACCATTTGAACGAATAATTTAGTTGAGGGACCAAATGTAAATCAGGTATAAGTTTGAGGACCATTTGAGTAATTTACCCGAAAAAAATTTATGTTAAAGAATAAGGCCTACACTGGCCAAGATCAATGCAGGTTCAATTTGATCATCTTCTTACAAAGAATTTAGCTGACAGCAGGTTTCCCTTGGCAAGACTGGGTCAAAACATAAACTCCTATTCTATTTAACAAAACGAACAGCAAAGAACACAAAATGAAAGATAAATTAAGTTGAGATTCTGCTGCAGCCAACCCATATTTTGATTTCAAAATACAACCAAAAAAAAAACTCATGAATATCTAAAATAGGGACCATGGTTGAAGCAGTCACTTGGCAAAATTATTAACTAGAAATGAGTTTCTAGTTATTTCGGCTAAAATTAGCTCAAAAATAGAGAAAGTTGTTGGAGATATGGAAGCATTCTAATAATAGCAGAGCAGGCCATGGTGGTGGTGGTGGTGGAACACAAAACCAATGTGCAATATATAAACTCTTTGTTTTAATCTGATTGTGAAACAGGGTTGATTTGGATTTGGATTTTGTCAAAAACCAACGTTGATTGGCGTTTTTCAACTCGCAATTCAACGTTCGGTCACGATCAAATTCAAAAACAATTTTTACCAAAAAAAATAAAAATAAAAACAATAACTTGATCAGTTTCTGTAGAGTTAATTCATTATAATGGCCCCAACAGGTTGCAGCTGCTTCCCAGTGACACTTGAGCGATCCAAAAAGGGTAGCTTCAAGTTTGTTAGGAGTTCCTCCTCTGTTGCTGGTATTAATAATTCATTGCACCTTTAAATTATGTGTTATATTACTGGGAATTCTTGAGTTTGAAACAGTTTTATTCTCATCATCTTTTTTTCTTCTTCCTGGGTTTTTTTTAAAGTTTCATTTGTACCCAATTGGATTTTTGAGGTCAATGATCGGACGCTGATAAGTATTTTAACTCTCTCAGGAGAATTTTTGTGCTGATGAGCTTCCCGATCTGAACAAGTTGCATTCATGCATTACCATTTTGCAGTTTCAGATTAGTATTAGTAACTTGCTGTCACTAATTTGGTACTTCTATCAATATTGATCTTTAACTCTTAAGAAATGGTCCCATGCAGGTTCATTTAAATCATTTTCTTTTAAGAAAAGGAGCACCCAAGAGAAACAAGCACTGATTGTTTGCTTTGGGGAGATGTTGATCGATTTCGTCCCAATTACTGCTGGAGTTTCTCTTGCAGATGCAGAAGGTTTCAAAAAAGCTGCTGGTGGAGCTCCTGCTAATGTTGCAGTTGGAATATCAAGATTAGGAGGCTCAGCAGCATTTATGGGCAAGGTGTTTTTTCTAAGCATGCAAGATCAATATTAATTTTCAGCTTCATTGTTTTATTTATCGCTAGTTTTATGAACATTTTGGTTTACATCATATTCTTCTCTGATTCTCATCTATCATGTGAGTATGTTTATAACAGTAAAGTCTCTACGTTCTGCATCTTAGGTTGGTAAAGATGAATTTGGATACATGTTGGCTGATATTCTGAAAGAAAACAATGTGGACAATTCCGGCATGCGTTTTGACCCAAATGCAAGGACTGCATTGGCATTTGTTACACTCAGAAGTGACGGGGAACGTGAATTCATGTTCTACCGCAACCCAAGTGCTGATAAGCTTCTTCATGAGAAAGAACTTGACGTGAATCTAATAAAAAAGGTAACTTCAATATTCTCTTTGATGAAAGTTTATAGCTTATAGTCATTTTCTTCTTCAGTTCCTGAAATATTGACTGATGCAGGCTGGTATTTTTCACTATGGATCGATTAGTTTGATCGAGGAACCATGCAGATCGGCTCATCTTGCTGCAATGGACATTGCCAAAAAGGCTGGTTGTATCCTCTCTTATGATCCAAACTTGAGATTGCCACTGTGGCCATCTGCAGAGGCTGCTCAGCAAGGCATTATGAGCATATGGAACCAAGCTGACATTATTAAGGTGCATTTTCCAAAAACCACCCTATCACATTATGATCAACAAATAATATAACCAAGATATGGGGAATAATATTTGCAAAATTGCAGATAAGTGAGGAAGAAATTGAGTTCTTGACTGGAGGTGATGATCCTTATGATGATGATATGGTCATGAAAAAACTTTATCACCCCAATCTGAAGCTTCTGATAGTAACTGTAGGGGCAGCAGGCTGCAGATACTATACAAAGGTAAACATCCACGTTTTGATGCTAACATTGATCTTAAACCTTCTTATTCACTGTCAAATCAAAACATTAGGCGTTTTGGCATCTTTTCTCATTCTTTGTCAATTTGTTTTTACTGATCCCTTTTTTACTGTGGTTTAGGAATTTAAGGGTAAGGTTGAAGGCATCAAAGCTGATGCTGTTGACACTACTGGTGCCGGTGATTCGTTTGTCGGTGCCATACTCAACAGCTGGGGTTCAGACCTAAATCTGTACAAGGTATGTAATTTGTCACCTTGTATGACTTGAATCTTGAGTCATATGCCACTGGCTTCGGTATCAAACCAACGATACGACTTGTTAGAATGTCAGTATCGTATTGAAATCTTGATTTTTATTCTTCAGGATGAAAAAAGGTTGAGAGAAGCTCTCTTGTTTGCCAATGCATGTGGTGCTCTCACGGTGCAAAAGAAAGGAGCTATACCAGCAATGCCCACAAAAGAAGCTGTCGACCAATTTCTTCACCAAACCACTGCTTGAGAGGATCATATAGGACAACCGTTAGATCATAAACTTATATTCTTACACAAAAAAGGGGGAAAACAAAAAATGAAAAAAGCAGAAAAAAAAAGAAAGATTTATTCTTTTAAAATAAATTGGTTTCCATGCTAAGGAAACCAGGTTTGAGGGATGATTGTGCTTGGAGGTGGACTCTGATGCTAAGCTTCTGGTGGTGCTGCACATAATGTTGAAGCTATCATTCATGATATCAAATAGTTGGGGGGTGTCATTTTTTATGAACATTAGGAGGGCAGTTTGGGCAGGTAATAGGGTGGCCCATGAGTTTTTTTTTTTGGGTGAATCGAGTCTAGGGTTTACCCTTCGCACCCCCACCCTATCTCATGCCATGGGTGACTCATGAGTTTTTGGCTTTCCATGCCTCTGCTAGTCCTAATTGGCTTGAATCTCCCCCAATATCCTTTACATGGATGTAGCAAGCTGCAATCTGTTCTCTTATATAAATTCTTTCCATTTTTTTTAATCATTTAAAATCATTTCTATCATGTGCTTCAAACAAAGAGAGGGAGAGGAAGCAAGGAAATACCTCAAATAGTTTCAAAGCATTTATCATTGCAACCGACATCATATGTGAGATTCTCCAACGCGAATATCGGTTGTATATAAACAAAAACCAAAAAATAAAGAGGCAGAGGGGGTGTACTTTTAAACTAAGAATATGTTACACATAACTATTAGACTCTGAAGAACATGATATTTAAGAACTACTGCCAGCTAACTGACGATAGATGCTCTGCAATTCATGCAAGCATAAGGGCTCAGGAAATAACACTGGAGAATTTTTCTTCTTAAAAATAAGATACATCATGATGAGATAGTCCAATAGTATTTCGTGGTCATATATATATGCATCACAATCATTTCAAGAAGACAATTAATATGATCCCTATTACAATACAGTCTTATTTGCTTGCAAAGCTCCAATGCAGCAATTTAGCGGAGCAACAATCTAATGCAGAAAACAAAACAATCTAAAAACTATAGAATTTTATATTCCAGCTCAGCCATGGCATTAGAATATTAAGAACTCTGAGGAGAAGCTAGCGCTTTCTTCTTTCTGGCAGTCCAATGAACAATTCAGTCTCAACATCTGAACTTGGACTACTTTCAGTGTAGGCTAAGTTTTCTCTTTGCTCATTTGATGCTTGCCTTGGTTGGATTCTACCACACTACAAAGAAGAATAAAAAATTGTTTAACATATATTGAGTTTTTCGGTTTCTTCGAAGCAGATTCGTCATGTCCAACAATTTAGCTTTGAATGCATATCCATGACATCATAGGATGAAAATGAAAACAGAAAAAGTTTATTTATATAAAATTAAGAAATTGAGAGGAGGCACTTACCTTCTCAATTAGTCTTTCATTTTCAGCTGCTAGGGCTTTCCCCTGAATTTCATCAACCGAAAAAATAAAAGGTTCACATTTAGTTAGCTAGTAGCACAAGCAAAACTTTGGGAATATAGAACAACAAACAGCCCAGAATTTTTTTAAAACTTTTTATTGCGGCAGTTTACCTTTTCTCTCAGTTGCTCAATCTGTTCCTTGAAAACTTGAGTCTGGAGTATTAGGCAAAAAAACAAAAAGTAGGTTAAATATCCATTTAGTAAAAATGAGACTGTTACTATCAGATTCTATTGAAAAATGCAGCACAACGTTTGGTTTAAGATCAACCTTTCTTGCTCGAACATTGCTCACGCTCCTCTCCAACTGTTGCTCAATTTCTTGTAGCTCTTCAATACTGCATGATCCTAGACCCTCTCCCAAGAGCTTCCTGCAATTGCAATTGCAATTCAGAAGAAAGAGGGGTTCGAGAAGAGAGTGCGTTATAAAAAAAGAGAAAAAAAAAAAAAAAAAAAAAAAAAAAAGACTATTTCAACTACGGCGTGTTATAAGATACAAGAAAAGTTTCAGATGAACCGTTTTGATATTTCAAGAAACTCTATCTGCTTCATCATGCTAGATGATTCTTGCTTCAGGTGCTGCACAACAATTCAAATGCAAACTCATCAGAAAACCAAGAGAAAAAAAATCTAATGCACTTTCATATGATTTGTTTAGAGTTCAGGGTCCAAAAAGTGCGGCCAGTTCACTCCAGTCAAATTTTGGAAGAAAGGTAATGGTTTCCAAGAATTCACCTGCATATTTTGGTCAGTGGAAACGGATTTGTTGTTGGTAAGGTTGTCTTTTGTATGCTTCTGATAACGTTCTATGGTTGTCTGCATGCTGAGTATTAAAACCAATGTATTCAAATGAACAAATCCTGTATATGTTATTTAAAACGTTGTGTTTCATAGAATTAGAGATAACATGGCATGTAATATGGCAAGCCAAAAAGGCGTAGGAAAATATATGGTGGTTCATCGTTTCCTCTATTGCTAAAACATTAACATACACTGCTCGTGGTTTTGATAGTAGTAGTAGAACATTGCACGTGAAACTTGACTTGGGGTTTATTATGACAAGTAAAAGAACGAGAGAATTAATATAAATGAGTAAAAACAAATAAGGCAATCACAAAGAACATAGAGAATTACATTAGGTGGTTCGAATTTTATGTTAGGATAGATTAGTTATGAATGAGAATATCAATCAAACTCAAGCAACCAAGAATGAATTGGAAGATAAAATAAAATGAACACGAAGAATTTAACATGATCCAAAATATGCTCACGTTCATAGGCAAGGATGAAAATATCTGCCGATACATCATTATATCTTGAATCTGTTTTTCAAGACAACTACAGCTTTCAACATAACAAAAATGCTTGATTTCCACATAATACTGATTTGAAAGAAAAAAAAAGGAAAAGGAAGAAGCAGCAAGGATGACACACCCAACCCTAATAATTTCTGAAAAGTACCAATCTAGAGGAAGAAGAAACAAGGATGGCACACCACAAAATACCCATCTATGACAACTTCAGCAATATAATTGGGTTGACAGAATTTGATTCAAGGTGAAAATTGCTGGATATTGTTTCACAAATTCTTAATCTGGCTTGGTCCATGTAGTAAACTTTGTGTTTTAGTGAATTATTTGTTTGGCTTGGGTAGAAAAGATTGTATTCGTTGTCATCAAACAAGGAAATTCTCACCCAAATGCAATCACTTCATACATTTCCAGGATACAGAAACCTAAGGATGATTTGTGTGTTGATAACTACTGGTGATTATTTGGGTTTATGCATCTACACTCATATGATTTTATGTGACTTAAATTAGAGTTTAAATCCAAACCCTCTACCTACTACTGTTTACCTTATTTTGTTCAAACTTGGAAAATACATTACAAGAGAAAGATAAGAATCTGGACATGCATGACACATCATTTCATGGCATGGCAAATAACTCTACTTTGGCAAAATATGTACATAGTACAAGAAATAATGAGTGACTCTAGGAGCCTATGTCCTATATGGCGATTACAAAATTTGTCACGGGCACAGCTATGACATAAATGTGTAAAGTACATTGTTGTCTTTCTCTCTGTCTCTCTCTACCTTTCACACAATCGTGTCCAAGTTATTTTAAGCGTTCCAACTAAAAAACAAGTTACTTTATGCACACTGTGCTCCCAAAACTGCTACTGCTATAACAGCCCTACCATGGAAGCGGTTGAAAGTAGCTAGGCAGAGTAACAGTATAGTAGCGGGCTATAGAATAGATTGACAAGATATGCATATACTGCAGTCAAGAGTTTACTGAACTTTGCATTTGGTTCACAAAAGAAAGTGATAAAAGAAACCCTTAATTAAATCCCTAATGCCTACGGAATCCATCATAGAAAAAGGTTATCAGAATGTTCTACACATGTATAATAGTCTACATTAGAAGGGAAGGGGATATCTCACACACACACTACTAAGTTGTCACCGGAGTTTGAACTTAATACCACTATATAAGTTAATGCCTTTTTCCACTAGGCTAGACCGTGTTGGCAACATATATAGAAGGTTTAGTTATAGACAAACATAGAAACCCTAGTTGCTGTACAAATAACATCCAAACTGTTTGCATAAATTTCCGAAGTTAACTATTAAAAAGCTCTGGAAATACTACAATACCTTAGGGGATCCTAAACTAAATGAAAACTATAATAGGTTCATGTACTACATGATGAAGATAAACGTATGCATGAAAAGAAGGATAATGATCTTTCAAATGTGAAACATGTCATCAATCAGGATACTGTATTCAAAATACACGTGTATATCATGAAGTGACTGCAGTTAATCATCCCTTCTGAGGCTATATACAGTGCATTATAAAAGTAAATTGTTTCACCTTTTTTTCGTACATATTTTCATGTGTATTCATTTTGAGTCTTATTTGATAGATCTCAACAAATACAGTCTAATAATACAAATTTTATGGAAAACATACATGTATGTATGTGGACTGAAATTGATGTTTTTTCAAAGCTGTTTAAGAAAATACAAATCCTATTTTAATATTTTTTTGTAGTTTTTTTTTAATTATTAAATTTTGCATGCACTCATCGCCATTTAAAAAATAATTTTGAGAAAAAAATGAAGATGATGATGATGATGCATTTCTCTCAATACATTTTCCTGATGTGCTAAACTAAATAATATTATCTCCCAACTGAAAAAAAAATTTAAATAATAATAATAATTACTGTGCACTGGGATCGATTGTAATTTTAGGAAAAATGGACATCTAGAATGAAAATGATCATATCTCAAGGTTTGGACGAAAAAACTGATGTGGTAATAATGTCTTTTCTCTCGCTCTTCCCACATCTTTGTCCTCTCTTGTTAATTAAAATTACAAACAATAAAAAAACTTAATAAAAGCATTAATTGTGATTAAGCCAGGTTTGTTTGATGTAAATCTTTTCGTACATTAGTCTTCCTTCAGTTTCTGAGGATGAAGAAACTCATTAGTAATTAACAATAGCAAGCCAAACTCAGTGGAAGGAAACTAGATTACTGTGCCACTTGTTCAAAGGTTACTATAAATAGAAATGCAAGTACTAACGAAAAACAAATATGCAACTTAGAGGGAAAAGGAAAAAAGGACTTTATATATAAACCTACAAACCTCGATCGTACAGACCATTATTTATTTATGCTTGACAGTGATTATATATACTAATACTGGATCTATTAATTCTCATTCATAAAAAAGAACATTAATATAAATATATATATATGTATATATATATATATGTGGGGAAGCTTATAAATAAATACCTCGAACTTGCAAATTCATAGAGCTTTCCCCTTGGAGAGAATATTATGAGCGCAACCTCAGCATCACAAAGAACTGAAAGCTCAAAGGCCTTCTTTAGAAGACCACTTCTCCTCTTTGAGAAGGTGACTTGCCGGCTGGTGGCGTTCTCTATGCGCCTCATCTGGGTTTTTCCTCTCACCATTTTTAACAGAAGGAAGCGCTCTCAGCTTTCACTGCACAAATCTATTCAGAACCCAATGTGTCAAAAAGGGATGAGAGTTGAGAAGAAGGTGAAGAAGTTAATTGAATCTTACCCAATAGGTAAAATTAACCCAAGAAGCTTTTTTTTGGGTTTGTTTTGTGGAAGAGAGAGGTTTGTGACTTGTGGGTAGGACTTGGAAAGATGATAAAGATGAGGTTAAATATATTGGATCCTCTTCTTCAATTCAAATAAGCAAGCAATATATAGAATTTGTGTAAGGAAATATGAGTTCTTTAATCAAAATGAAGATATGAAGGAGAGAGAGAGAGAGAGAGAGAGAGAGAGAGAGAGAGAGAGAGAGAGAGAGAGAGAGAAAGAGAGAGAGAGAGAGAGAGAGAGAGAGAGAGAGAGAGAGAGACGAGAGAGAGAGAGGCAAAGGGGAAGAATTGAGTGTTAAGAAATTGGCCCCAAATAGCCTCTTGGTTACAAACAAAAGAAGGAAGAAGAAGCCCAAAATGGAAAGAAAAGAAACTAAAGAGACCTTCTCAGGTTTGTGAGCAAAGACTTGGACTAGACCCTGAAAAATACAAATATATATATTACATATAATAGGTGGGTTTTTGTGATTGATTGATTCAACTCCGAGAGCCAAAAGACAAAGCAAAACAGAAAACTTCTTCAGCTCAAATCTCCTCAACAAGCTAAAAGGGAAAAACAGAGTTCAAAGGAAGCTGAGCCAATTTTCCAAATATGCAAAAGGAAACCCAGAAAGAAGCTATGGACAAATAAGGGAGGAAGAAGATGCCAAAGAAGGAAAGAGAGAGAGAGAGAGAGAGAGAGAGAGAGAGAGAGAGAGAGAGATGAGGAGGATTGAGATAGGAAAACCACAAAGACCCAGAAATTATAGAGAGAGTAGGAAGGAAGATTTTGAGATTGATTGACCTTTACTTGGGCTCACACACCACCAAGCTAAGCACAAGCTGTACCTACCTTTCCTTTTTTTCCATATATATCTTCATTAATGTCTTTATTTTCCTACCCCAGAACCCCACCTTGAAAAAGAAACATAAAAATATACTATAATAATATATAAATCAGCGGTTGGCAACAAAAAAGCCCCATATCCTTTGCTTGTTTTGGTAAAACCCACAAAACTGACCAGAAAAAGAAATTCTGGACACAAAAGGCAAAAAAACACTCAACTATCTATGAGAAAGGAAGCAACTTCCTCTCCCTTGCTTGATGAAAGTCCCTCAGACACAAAACCAAGTCCTCTCTCTCTCTCTCTCTCTCTCTCCCGTCTATCTCTCTGTGATATATTAAATAAATATATATTTATATATTTATCCTTAATGATTGTTTATGTATTTAGTTTTGTGTTCTTGTGACAAGAGGGCTGATAGAAAAATCAAAAGCAAAGAACGAAAAAGAAAAGAAAAAAAGGGGTGTGGAGTTAAAAATGGCAAGGATAGTACAATGTTAGCAACACGTCAACATCGTCCGTACAACTACGTACCCATTGGACCAATCAGAAGTCGAAAACGCAACAAGCCTGTATCATTAACTTTCCTTTTCAAAATAAGGGGTGCAGTCCCCACAGGCCACCACCTTTGTCTGGCATACATCACATTTTGCCCTTTTTCGCACTTTTTTTTTATTTTTTTATTTCTTTTATTTGTTTTTAAGACCACAAAAAAATCATTGCATTAATGCATCTGGGTGGATGACGTGGATCCAAAGCCTTATGGATGTGAACCTGACGTGTTTTTATTTTTTTCTTTGGTAAAGAAAGAATCTGAAGCTAGGCCTCTACACAAAGTAAAAAGGCTAGTCATAGATTAGCCTAATTAAGAAAGGATTGTTAGGTTTTTCTGTAGAGTTTGATTTTTCTTTTTTCTTTTTTCTGGTTGCTTTCTAATGATATGGATGTGACAACGAAAACACAAACAAATGGTGTACACGGCTTGTAAATAAATTGAATTCGTTTAACCTTTCTCTTTGACATAGGGTTACATGGCACGGCATGAAAACGAAATTATGTACCCTTTGCACATGGGTAAGGATATAGTTTTTTTTCATGACTTTTTCTTTTCTTTTCTTTTTCAAATGAAGATGAGTTTTTATATGTGGTTGCTATAAGAGTGACCGACGTGTGATAATTATATGAATATTCTTACATGCCGAATTTTGTGTTCTTCTTTGAAACGCATCCATTTAAATCTTAGGGTGCTACCGTAAAATTCGAGGAGAAAGGAAAAGACAAAAAACAATCATTTGCCTTATCCTTTGAACAGCAAGAAAAAGGAAGATAAGGAATAAAACAATAGTCATACATCCATAAACCCTCAAGTGAAGGGTGTTTTACCAGTACAAATTGCATGAATGTTCAAGCACATGGATGTAATTCAATAAAACACTTATCTTCTTGTGGGGTTATCCCAATCTGATCCAATAATTTGAATCGTACATGTTCAAGTCCCATTCTGATGTCATATATATACTTTTTTAAACCAACCAAATTAAACAAACATTATGTGTGGCACAAAGTTCTTCAACAAACGTCTTTTCTTTCATGAAAATAATTTTTTCATACCACTAACATTATTATATGTTAACGTTATTTGTAAGGGCTTGTAGCTTAAGTTGTTAAGAGTATTAACTCTTCCAGTCGATGTCCTAGACTCGATTCTCAACTCATATCCCCCATTTTCCCTCACCCCTTAGACCAACCATAAGAAGTTTTTATCTTAACATATAACATTATATTGACTTTCAACCAAAAGTGTGTATCACAAAATTCAAACATAATCCTTTATAATTGAGAGTTCAATAACAAAACTTAAGACTAGAAAAGTAACCGTGAGTTCGTGATACAAGGACCTAGATTAAAAGTTTTTTTAATATCTAATAAAAAATTATAAGTGGGGATCAACAATAGCTAGCTAGGCTTCCGTGGAAGGGATTCTTCTCTTTCTTGTGTGATCGAAAGGATAATGTGAAAATGGCAGCAAAGCCAGCCATTAGTTGCTTTGGAGATCTTTTATCAGAAAAACAATGCTTCTTTTTGCACAACACAGCCATTGGACGCTGCAAAGACAAATTTTACCTAAAAAATTGTTTCACCTTAGTATACCAAACTTTTATACCATAATTTCAAATTCTCGAAAACTTAAGAAAATAAATACAAGGGTAATATGCCGTTTTGGCCCATGAACAAAACGACATATAACCCTTGTATTCATTTTGAGCGGCCATGGCCAAAATAGAAATGAGGCCCTTAATGGTCTGATTCTATAGTTGGTCATATTCTTGTTCCTTCAAAACTTTCTTCAACAACCGACTCGACTTTGCCACAAAATCCCAACCCGATGTTCTCAAGTTCTCAACCTTTAGAATCATATTTTTTTGAGAAAAATTACCGTTATTTAATAGATCGAAGTTATTTTTTTAAATTACGAATTTGCCCTTAATATTGAAGGAAATTTGGGCGCACATCCAAAATTTGACAACGAGTCCGAAATTGACCTATTTCATATAGTTTAAGTTCTTGATTTAACAAAAAAGAAAGTCTAAGGGGTAAATTGAAATCATGATATAGCTCATGGGAAAAACAACATATCAGATAACCCTAAGTACAATATATAATGTGTGATTCTATTACTAATATCATCGATGCCTTTTGTGACAAAACCTCACACATATTAGGGTATGTAGGTGGTTAAGTTGAGGGACAATATCGGTGTTGCTAATAGGGGGTTGATGGTCCATCTCTCTAAAATTTAATTTGGTGGTATCATAGCGAGTTGATTGACTGGGTCTTTACCACGTGTTGGGCTTGAATGTTTCACATTACCTCTTACCCAATACGTGGTGTTCATGTGTTGAGCTGCAATGATACGTGGTATTTAGGTCTTAGGCTGCAATTAAAGGTGTCAAATGGGCCGGCCTAACCCGTTTAGAGTCCGTCCATTTAATAAACGGGTCGTGCATGGTTCGTCCATTTACAAAAATCATCAATCCCGACTCGAGCTCAATGCCCAAGCCCATATGGGCTCGGGCTATGCTTGTGCCGGGCCACTAAACGGGCCGATGCCAAATTTGACTTACGTATTGCATTTTTTTTATAACTTCACTTATATCTTTTTTACAATTATATATATATATATATATACACTAATAAGCTTTATTATTTGTTATATTAAAAAAAAAAGAATAATGCTACTCTTACCACATTTGTATACCACATCCCTATACCATCTTATGTGGCAGCTGCGGTGGACAGCCACATCAATTAAAATCATTTAATATTTTATTTTCTTTTATGATTTATTACAGTATTTGTTTTTTCTAATTGTCTTAATTAAAATACACTTCATTGATTTAATTGATGTAACATGTAATATGGACATGCCACATCATGTGGTATAGAAATGTAGGATAAAAATGTGGTAAGTGTAGCATTACTCTAAAAAAAAAGGTCAATAACTTTATTTAAAGTACATTTAAATAGAAAATTGCTAGATTATTGTTTGTGTTTTTAAAATTGAAATTTGAAAAACAAAATCATTATTTTATATATAAAGAAAACATTAATTTTTAATATATATTATTAGAGAAAAGAAATAGACTTGAATTTAAGATATATATGTAATACTATTATGTATATAATTTAATAAATGGGATTTAAACGGGCTAGTTCGTTGGATTTCGGTCGCGGGCCACGAAACTGGCCCAGCTCGTTGGACCTGATTACCTCATCCCGACACCGCCCAAAGATACTGACCATGTCGTGTCGGGCTTAAAGGTGTCAAATGGGACTGGTTGGCCCAGCATGGCACGAGCCCAGCCCATTTAAATGAGGCACAGCATGACACAATCACAAATATTAGTGGGTCATGCTCGGTTCAACACGAAAGCTTGGACCATATCAGAATCAAAAAATGAGGCCCAATGAACGAGGCCGGCTCATGGCCTGACATAAGCCTGGCTTGGCTCGAGCC